TGGGACAGCCGTTGTAACTATACTCGAGGCCTTAGAACTTATATCTCAAGATGGGTGGCGCATTTACGTCTATGAGCTCCAATAACCACTTAACACCAGGCGGGCTGTGAGCTCGTCCACACGTCAAGCAATAAAAAAAAACATAAGTTTCAATACTAAGAAATAAAAGGAAGTAGTTAGGTACTTCAATTATCGAAGTTCATGTCTTGATATAACGATCGGTTGTTTGGTTAAATATAAGTATGTAGTCTAAAAAACGTGTTCTGAATTCAGGATTTTTATTCTTTCGCTTCGCTGGCGTGATTCTGTGAAGTACGACTACCTGCAGCGGTCAACATCCGGACCGGCCGGACGTCATTTCAGAAACGGAAAATCGCCAATCTCCTCTCCCCTGGGACTTTTTATTTTACACGTCCGTGCTACTGACATATGGCGCTAGATTAAACCCAGGCATTTCTTTCGTACTGGTAACAAAATGGTATCTAGTACTTCGATGTATTATATGTAAATGAAAAAGTTTGTGAGGGAGGATGAATATTTGTTACCCTTTCCCGCTGAAACTACTGGACGGATTTTGATGAAACTTTGCAATGTAATGGCTTTTATAACACAATAGCTTAAAGGCCAGTAGTTATAAGAATTATTATAATATTATATGTTATAATATATATGTTATAAGAAATTGGAATTTCATTATTTATCATCCAATCGCAAACTTTTTTCATGTATTATTTCGACCATAGATAATGAACACCGAGCCCTATCTTTCACTAGTGTTTTTAAAATAATAGAAAATAATAAGCAAAAGGATTCCGATTACACATAATATATACGTATATGAAACGTATATGAAATATTATTTACATTTTGAAAATAACTCTCCATAATCTTCTGATACCAATGTTTTATCATCTAAATACGTTGAACTATTTGTGTTTGTTTTATTAATTGTTTACATACATTCTTTTCATACTTTTCAAAACAAAATTTTGTTGATTTAACGAATATAGACTACCAACAAAACAAAAAAAACTAACACAAAAACCCGATTCGCGACATTACTCAAGCTAAACCGAATATTTTCCATTTAAAATCCGACGCTTGCATCGCAGTCGGCAATATGCATGATTTATCACCGTGATATATTTATTAGTCCAATAAAATTTGTCCTTAGCTGGCTGGTTCCCACTTTCTTCATATTTCATTTGAGCTGCTTCACCTGGCACAAGAGTGTAAATTGCATAATATTGTACGCGAGCGTAATATATGGGACATTATAGCCCAGTACTTCGCTCGAATATTAAGTTCGTAACGTGCATACGCTTATTCAACGCTGTTATTTTTCCTTACCAACTTACATTGAGAGATGAGCAGGCCACTGATGTTGTCAATATTCGTACTGTTGATGATCTCTTTTCTTAAAGTCGGTATCCAAATTATTAACTATTTTAATGTTCTATAATTTATGCAATAAAGTACCTAATCGTGCGTAGATTTTATTTCCACCTTGAGAATTGAAATCGAAGTCTCAATTGTTTTTGACGTGACAACGTCTTATAATTCGATGGAGCCGGCTGCACGCACGAAAAAACATGACTCATGCGGCGTTACCTCGCTCTGAGGCGTTCCATTTAAGGCTTGAAGTGCAAGCGAGAGCGCGCAACGAGCGACAAAGAGGCACAATCGGCCTCCGCGTTCCGCAGCGTTCGACATCTGTCTCTCTCACTTGAGTGAGCGATGCATCCGCGTGGACAGCTGCTATACAATAATACATTTACATGTTTTCGTCAAGTATGAAGTTCAGTGAAAAGTGAATGTGGTGTCAATTGTTTATAGCAACGATAATTGCGATAATTGAAAAATGAAACCAGTCCATTAGTATTTTCTTATGACTTTGTCACGTTCAACTATCGTCAGTAAACCGACTTTACAGACAATCGATTTTTGTTTTAATTGCTTGACAGTATATTATTATATCGGCCGCTCGACCCTTCAAATGGTATGGGCGACTGCTTCGCGACAGAAATACGCCAGACGATGTCACGTCCGTGCGAAACTGGAATAGCCCCATCGAAACCAGCGAAAAGGTAGGGAAAAAGTAAAATAAAAATCAATGCCTCTTTTTTTTAGATGTTCAAATCTAATTTCCATCCATATAAATTCATGACTTCTAGTATCATGTATTTCTTGTATCTATTATATTATGATGTACTGTCAATCAGTCTCAATAATTTGTTTCAAATCTATTTTGTTATTTTATTTTTATTGTTTAGTTTAAGTTGCAATTACATTGCTTAACTAACTTACTAACAGCTAGCTACCTCTGTATGTAGCCCGTAATCTACTCTGTAGGTAACCTACACTCTACCTTTATAGGTAGCGTGTGCTCGACCACTATAGGGAGTCATTACTCTAGGTCTGTAGGTAGACAAAATACCACCACATATACCACGACAAAGTACCAAATCTTAAAATATGCAAAACATTAAATTTTTACATGTTTTTGTATTATTATACATAATGTGGTTGCATTGGAAAAATACTGATAATTCCAAAAATGTTAAATAATTATGGAGAAAATATTACTACTCATTCACTTAAATGTCATTGAATTATTAAATTATTTTCAAACTTTAGAGATTTTATATTTAAAAAGTCCATTTTTTCTACCAAAAATTTACTTCTTAGTCTTACTACTACTACTTTTACTCAATAGCTCCAGACATAAATTGCGACTGTTAACCATTGTACTATGACACATTTTCCTATAAAAACTACCAACAAACTATTAAACTAACTTTTAATAACAAGTCTATCTTTAATTCAGAACTATTTACACTTCATCAATTAGTTTAAATCTCTGATGTTGGGGCTCTGGTATAACATTGTAATATTTTTTATAGATGGTCTGGTCATAGCGCCCTTTGTACATCCTCTGGACCCAAGTGTGATCCCAGTTTGGATCAAACTTTTCACATGTGACAACTACTTTTCCAGCCTCCATTGCAAACAAAGTACCATTAACACCAAAACCAACCTGAAAGAAACATAATTTAAGCAAGTCAAACAAAAAAAAATGATTAACACAATTTTTACAGTAATTAAAATATTTAAAAAAAAGAAGAATGTACAGTAAATACAGGTCAAGCTAATAAAATAGCATTAAAAATAAAATTCATTTTTAAAGGCAGTTTTGGAAAATTTTTAACCCAAGCTGTGTATCTTTGTAATATTAAAAGAGAGACAAAATTGGGTTTTTTTTTATTTGTGTCTGCATATAAAGTAAATTTACAAGATAGATTTGCGACTTTTACTTGCAGGTACTTTTCATAAGGGTGGTAAAACTCATAATAACGTAAAATACATTTTTATTGCTTATTACTGTTCCTAGAAAGCTCAAAAAATGAAAATTTTTAATCCACATCAAATTGAAGTTTAAAGCATGTCATTAAAAAGCTTCATCAGTTAATAATTACTGGCAAACCAACTTACATTCAATCCTGGATGAAAACGAGTGGTTCTTTGCGTAGCTAACATATGTCCCGCTTGAACAAAATGCCCATCTTGTACTTTCCACCCTCTGTGCTTCGGTTTTACTTTACAATTAGTATTCTGCGTACTACCTCCGGTTTTTTTACTGGCATTCCGGACAAATTCTACGAGAATAATGTATGTTTCAGTTTCGTTCTAAACATAACCTAAAACGTTGGGCCTATCTGATACACACCTTTTAGAAAAACACCTCTTTCTGATGTTTTGAGTAAAATGTTAAATGACATTGTTAATCGGTACGTGTTTACTATTATGTAATTATTTATGTATTTATGGTTTATTGAATTTTTTAATCAAATTTATTGGATTAAGGTTTTTGACATTGACATCTTTTATTTGTTTGGTTCGTCCATTGAATATGAATAGGCAAAGGAAATATAGTCCATTCTCATAATAATATTATAATGGTCTGTCTGTTGTGTAAAAATGTATTTGGAACCACTGGCATCTACCCTAGAACTGTCAAATGTCTTTAGAAACACACTCGGACAGTTGTGAAACAAATTCTACCTCTTCTAGCTGAGCACGTGCTCGCCCAATCACCCTGGCAAAATCAACTTTACTAAACCAAACTTAGAAATAGTTTAGCTAACGAAGCTGTCAATGGAACCTTACTGGCAAAGAAAATGTAAGAGCCACTGCAAGCTGCACCGATTTTAAACCAATTAAGATGATCAAACTGATGAATACGGAAAATTTATAAAAAAAAAAGTGACTTACTATAATATAATCTCGTCTCGGAGTACTTCGTGGTGGTACAAATTACAGACGTAATGCATTCTTTATAAGAGCTGCTAACAGTTTCAATGCTCTAGCTGACTTCCCTGAACTGGACATTTTCAATACTTCTACTAAGAGTATTAGGAGAACATTAGCCAGTCGATGGTTGAATGCAAATATTTAATTAATTATTTTCTATATACTACGTTTTTCTGTTTTTTTATTTTCTCAAACTGTTTTATTTTTGTTTTTGTTTTACGTTTTACTTTAATTATTTAATTCTAGGCGATGCGACGCCCCAATCGTTTTTAGTTATTTAAATGCGGAGACATTTAAATGGTGTTTAGTTGTAAGGTTAGAGTTTATATAGTTTAAGTTCACTGTTTGTCTTCCTAATAAAATAAAATAAAATATTTACGTACGTACTATATTCATGGTATTTTTTATTATGAATTTTCTAATAAAAGTGAATAAAACGATGAATAATATCTATGTACGAATAATACTTTTTTTAGCTGTGGTACGATTGCAGCATCTTTTCACCTGGCAGCACTGCATCCAAAGTGTATTTTGAACATGGATATTGCTTTTGGTTAATTTCAGAAATTATATAGAACAGAGAAGGCTATATGGGCTTAGATCCCTTTGACTTTCCTAATAAGGAAAAATTGTACAAAAAAAAAATGCTTTTGGTTATTTACTTATCACTTATTTACACATAATTACACTTATTGTTACTTTTATTATGTTTACAGCGCTTAGTACATAATACAAATTGTCTTTGTGAATGAATTTTTAACAACGAAAAGTGAGTGAAATTAAAAAACAAACAAAAAATGGCTTCCGATACATTAAATATAGCACGACGAAAATTAAATGAAGTACTCGGTGAAAAGTCAACAAAGTATTTCAATCAAATGAAATTGTGGTTTCGTATGAAGCTGACTAAGGAAGAATTCGACGGAGAAGCAAGGAAACTATTAAGTAACGACCAAGTACATTTCCATAACGAGTTTTTGTTAGCATTGTTGAACAAAGTTGAAGGCTTAGCAGAAACTTCGATTACAATAGCCCAAGAGAAAGCTAATTCACACAACAGAAACAGTCGGAGACATAAGAGAAGCTCTAGAACCTCTGAGAAGAGTAACTTTGAACCAGTTGATATCCTTGAGTATCTGCCGCCTAATTCACCACCTGGAGCTGGCAGTGACGGTGTCAAATATGCAACACAAGTAATTATTGCTTTTTCCTACCTGTTTATTCTGGTTTAGTGCCTTTTTGTCATACTTCTACTTCAACCAAATTTCATTATCTTATTACTGTATGAAATAATAAAATATTCAACAACTGGTATTGATCAAAACTATTTAAACTGCTTTACTTTTCAAATAAAGGGTTAGGAAGCTACTATTTTGTAAAATTAAAGTGCTATTTTTAATCAATAATATCTTAATGCTGGTAAATAAGTTTTTTAAATGATTCCAGGAAATATTTCTACCTGATCATGCTCTAGTTGTGGGCAGATTCATGTTGGCCGCCTGGGAACTTGGCTTAGAAGGAGCGGATGACGATGCTGCTGACATTGTAGTGGTAGCTGTACAGAATTTCCTCAAAAATGTAATAAGTGCTGTTTTAGCACAAAGGAAAGGCTACAAAACTCACGGGAAGTACTTCATGTATGATATTGGTGGTGACATGCCGAATATGTGGCTGAGAAACTCAGCCAAACTATACGATCCTCAGAGTTGGGGAAGGGTAAATGTAGATGATGGAGTGGATTCCCTCGGTCCCAGATGTCCTCCTACAATTGATGAAATGGAACATTCAGCTGTTTTTGAAATTGCCTGCAGGTAAAAACTTTATATTATAGTTTTAAATTATCGAGTGGTATTGTTAATATCCAAAACAAATCAATACCATACCATTTCCAAAAATTATATCACATGTATAAACAAAAAAAAAACAAAGTACAGTAGAATCCGGATATAACGACCTTCAAGGGACCGGCGAAACTATGTCGTACTAACCGGATGACGTACAAAACGGAAGATTTATTTCTTAAGTACATATGTTTATCCAACTCATGGAGCATGTAAAAATTTGCATGTCTAACTGTATAGCGAAAAATTGCTTTCTCTTGTAGCAGAGGTACATTCACGGGTATTCCCCAGTCGCGCTAAAGCTCGAACCACTGGAACAATGCCTTATCCACCGACTTATGAGTATAAGTCCTTACACGTTTGTATTTTAAAACATTGGCATTAAACAGCGGCTCGATCTTATCTTTATTCTCCTTTATTGTTGATATTGTAGAATGAGATACGCCAAACTCTTTTGCGAGGGTTGCATTTGATTCACCGGCTTCTAATCTGGGTGAAGTTGGGGCGCCGAGGTATTGGTAGTTTATGTAAACAAAACATTGTGCGTCGTTTTAACCGGACTTATCATCATAATATTCATAATTAAGGGTCGCTATAAGCAGTTGGTCGCTTAAAACGGAGTCGCACTAAACGGTTATATTTTCTCAGTACCTAGCTATGAAACCTAACTTGAGTAATCATGATCGTCGTTAAAAGCGGTTAGTCGTTATAGGCGAAGTCGTTGTATGTGAATTCTACTGTATAAATGATTTTAAATAAAAATAGGAAAATTACAGTGTGTGGGACTCAGGTAGGTGGAGACATCTGTGTGCTTAGTCTAAGTTTTTTAATGTTCTCGATAGCGCAAAACTTAAATTTGGATGAAGTTGGAATGTTTGGAAAGAGCACACAAATTTGAATTAAAAATTACCGAGAATGTTAAAAAACTCTCACTAAGCACACTGCTCAGTATATCCCACTGGAAGTTTTCAGGACTATTTAAAATTTAATGTTTTACACTATTGCAGTACTGCAGATTTGTTGAACTACAATTATTATCTAGAAATTTAGATTGATTTTATTATTTTATATTAAATTAGAATGTAATTAGCACAAATTTTAAATATCAATGAATAACAAGTTAGCAGTCTACACCTATGAAAACTAAATTATTTGAACGCCAGAAATAATAATAAGCAAATAAACATTTTTCTTCTTTAATGTAGAGAACATTTATCGTTCTAGTTTCTAAAAGTTTTCTTTTACGTTTACTGATAAAAAAATTCTAATTGAGTTCAATTCTCCTTTTTTCAGTGCCCCAAATCCAGAACCAAATGAGGACAGACTAACAATAGATGAATTCTACAATACCTTATTGACACACAGAAATATAATTGCATGTCATTCAATCTACGCAATCAATATGGAGAGGTTATCGGTCATGTTAAATCATCCTAGTTATTAGCAAAAATATATGTAGTAACTTGATGAATGTTGCATAATACTTAAGTTTAATAACACATTTTGATTAGCTTGACACAGAATGGTCGAAGACAAAAAAAATATTTTTTTTGTCCTACCGATAGCCTTGAGAGGCTATTTCAGCTTCACCCTAACGTGTAGGTGAGCTCACGGGGCTCAAACCGAGAGTGTTGCTAACACTGGCCATAGCAAGAGCAGTGCTTCGCAGAATCTACCACCCAATCGGAACGTTGTTGGATCGGGAGGATCCGTAATGACGTGTTTAGGGCGACTTCGACTGTTTACCATTCGGTCTACAGGATCGGGTATGTAATTCCCGGCGGCCACGACAATAGGATTTTCATGTCGTGCCGCCTTTTCGAAGTGGCGCAATGACTGTATACAGCCTTCTCACTGGTGCATGTGTATTATTAATATTGTCTCTCTAGTGTACACTCTTCTAGTTGTAAAGAATATCGAAAAAACAACCCATTCAAATGTAAAGCGGAAGAGACTTCATAAAGATGTGGAGACTTATATTTGACTTTAATCGCACCACTTGTAAGGTCCATTTTACTTAACAAACTTAAATTATATATTTTTTCATTACTCTTATTTGGCAGATAGTGCTAAATGCTGTTGGATGGTTACCCGAGACCATTAAAACATTAATAGCGCTACCAAGATTGAGAAAACAGGTTTCAATTATGCTGTATCTGTGCATGTACCAGTTATATCTGTAATTTTAAGAACGTCACCACGTAGACTATGATTACATCTCATATATAATGGTAATAAAATCTTGTATTATTATAGCATCTAGTTGTCTTTATTATCAGCCTGAACAGTAAATGTTGCTAAATTCACAACATGCAACTTCATGTAATTCGGTTAGTTCTTTTGTCGTCTATTTTATGTACATATGAGAACGGTCAATTCGTTCCTTGTCGTCTGATTCGTGTACGTCTTTTGTCGTGGAAGTCAAAAAAGTACTGCCCATAGATTATACACTTAATATATTATGTACTGCCTGCCGCTTGTTACATCCGCCCTCGTTCCATTTTTCTCTTTATTTTTGAATTCTTGTCAAGTGTCTGTCTTAGTCTGTGTCTAGTCGTTGTAAGTCTTATGTCCTGTCAAAGAGGTTGCACGCCACGACATGTATGTTTTCCATTTCTTTATTAAAACGGTAATGTTGTTACCGTTTTAATAAACAGTATTAAATATTTATTTAAGAACAAGAAAATCCAAACAACAAAGCAAACAAAAGTACAATTTTATGAACAAATAATATATTTATGGTATTTTATTGCGAAATAATGTAATGTCAACTGTATTAGCTTACTACAAATTAATAAAATTTAATTAAAGCTGTCCTCAAATAAAGTGCCAAGGCTCAAAATGTTGTGGGGGTTTTTTGATTGCTTAGTAAAAGAATAATCAATAAGTACCATTTTTATTTATTTCAATACTGTATAATTTATTTAAAGTACATGCAAAACATTGTTCAATCTAATTAATAATATCGCATTTTAATAACTTCTATTGGATTTAAATTCAGATTAACACTTATGAACGATCTTAACAGTAAACTATAACTAAAATTGTTTTACTCTTCCACACACCTGCATCAGAATCTATCGCCAACTTTTTCTTTATGGTTGCAAAAGTCTAAGAGGTCGTGAAGCGTCACGAACTATATTAGGTTTTCGTGACAATACGATAATGACTAGTTTTTACTTTTTGTTTTTTTTTTGTTTTTATTTAGTTATGTGTACTCTTTGATAATCCTTATAGTAGGTGTGGGAGAATTCATATTCCGCCTTGATCTTTTTTTATTGCATTATCTCGATGCACGGCTACATATTCGAGAAACTACTACGTTGACTGTGAAGAACTTGCTTCAGACGGAGGTACGACTCTGACTTCGGGAACATCAACATCGCCTCTCCTCGTCGAGTGGCCCTGTAGGGGTTCCAACTCGTGGGCCGGCTCAGGCGTCGGTCTAGGCGTGCTGCCCAAAAACTCGCGTCTCTTCCAGGCGAGGAATCCGATTAATGCGATTATCACTATGCACACTATCGTGATACCAGCTGCGGCTGCGAACGACATGGTGTAAATTCCTGTGTAAGCGAACAAACAAATAATATTATACTCACTTTACTAAAAATCCGTAAACACGAAAGTGCTTGTGATGAATAGTCTGATATTAGTTACATTCTTGATCTGAATAAACTCGTCCTGGAAACACTACGAGATAAGTTCAAATATGCTGAGACTTTAAAAATGACTGACTCCGATCTGAAATCGAACCTGGGTTCCGTGGGAGCATAGTCACGCACTGATCACGCAGGAGCCAGTCACCGTCGACGTCCTAGACACGTCCTTACGGATTCATCAGATCCAATAACCTTTGCAGCAGACTCCTTTAGCTCTAACACTAAGAGTAGGGATTCCGGTAACCATACTCTTCGAACTCGACAAAGAGGTCGACGTAACCTAAACATCAGCCCGCTGAGTTTCTCGCCGGATCTTCTCAGCGGGTCGCGATTCCGATCTGGTAGTAGATTCATTCACGAAGCAGCTGCCCTTGAGTTGTTAGGTCTCCTTCGGAGGCGCTCGGGCAGCTGTTAGCAAATCCCATCCCTTCTGGCTGAACCTTTGTTCGCCCACCGGTTCTGGCCACTGGAGAGGCCTCCGGGCCACCAGTTATATCTCAAACATAAATAAATAATAGTTATTATAAATTTACTTTCTATTTTTTAGTTGGATTTTCTATAAAAGCGTATTTTGTTAGTTTTTTTAAACTATTATTTATTTTTCATTTTGTAGTTGAATTTCAATTTTGTCAATTTTTTGTTTTCAATTAATTTTTTTTAATATTGAATTGTCATCAGTCCTTAATAAGTATATCAAATTTCAAGTTAATCCGACGTTTTGAAGGGGGTCAAAATCATGTTCAAAGATTCCGTTACATACTAACATACATACGTCTGAAACTAATAAAAGCGTATTAAAAAGGGTAACGCGGCCAATTAGCATTACTACTTGAAGATAAAAATCATTAAGATTATTTTTTACCTTTTACTTTTACATTTATAGTATCAGTGTGTTCGTTTCCATCGTCGAGTCCTGCACCGCACGTCCACGTGCCGTAATCGTCGTATTTCACATTGTTTATAGTTACGGCACAGTCTCCGCGATCCAAACTCATGTTCGTTGGAAAGTAGAATCTACCTAAGATGGCGCTGAAAGAATTGCAGTTTTTAATTTTTAAGTTCGGTATTTAGAGAAATTAATTAATGTTACTCTGTGCGCTGTGGTGGGTAGGCATGATCACGGCCCTCCTGATATTAAGTAGGTACCCGAGTCCACACTGAGACACACTAGCCTATGGGCTAAATTATAACCATTACTGAGACCTTAGAACTCATATCTCAAGGTAGGTGTAGGTGGTGGAATTTACGTTGTAGATGTCTATGGGCTCCGGTAACCACTTAACACCAGGTGGGCTGTAAGCTCTTCCATTCAACTAAGCAATAAAAAAAAAGGATAATTTGTAACAAAAAGAAATATCCAACAAAAATACAAAATATGTTATTATCAAAGCTAATGATGATCATTCGAACAAAATGATCGAGGACCTAGGAAATTTTTAACAGCATAGTTAAAAAAAATACGCCAATATTTTCGCAAAAACGCTAGTTGTTTTTTTGAGCTATTGAGGCTTCAAGTAGAAGGATCTAGAACAGACTGCCCAAGACCGTTGTAAATGGAAGGATTTCATTCGAGCCCTACACCCCAGCAGAGGGTAATAGGAAAGAATGATGATGAGGGTTCAAGTTGCTTTAATGATTACTGAAGTTCAGTAGGTGGAACTTTAATAACAAAAAGAACAGAGTCGTTACTCACTTATCGGGCGTCACATCTTCGGCTATGTTGAATGGTCTCCCCTTGGGAGGTTCGAAGCGACAGTAGCTAAGCGGCGTCAGTCGTTTTGTAGTTAGACAAACCAACGAGACAGATTTCGCGTGAAGAACCGTAACGTTTTTCCATAAAGCGGTCACTTCGTTGACGACCCTTAATTCGATTGTTTTTATTATTTCGACGCCGGTTTCGTGACCGCCGCTGTGACAGCGCCATTCTCCGTCGTCTTCTGGTGTCACTGTGATGTTTTTGAAGCAGTGACCGGCGCTTAGCGTTGTTCCTGAAAATCTTTTATTTCATTTAGACTTATTTTAAACTAGCTGACCCGGCAAACGTTGTTTTGCCATATATGTATAAGATTTCTAGGGAATTTATAGTGTAGAAAAAAAAAACTAACTTATTGTAAGTGTGTAAGGATGTGATAAATGCTTCGATCAACAATAGTAAATTGTTGATCGAAGGATAAATGAGTGAAAGAGGCATGTAGCGCTGTGAACGATGAGGGAATATAAAAATAACAAAACTTCATTCAACCACATAATGCCTCATTATAACAAAAAAAAATGTAAAAAAAATTAAAAATAAATGTTAGGAGTGGACAACCCTTATCACTTAGGGGTATGAAAAATAGTTAGTAGCCGATTCTCAGACCTACTGAACATACGTCATATAAATTATCACAAAAATCGTTCAAACCGTTTCAGAGGAGTATGGTAATTAACATTGTGACACGAGAATTTTATAGGTATATAAGATAACGCGCATGGGAAAATATTGAGTAGTGAAATAATAAGGTTTACATAATTAAGGTCATTTTAAGGTGGACAGATCAGCTCAAAAACCACTTGGTTTAATGGTTAGCAGTAATCATATAATTTATAACATGACATGCCATTCAACCAACTTTAGCATTGAAATTGAAGTCTTAATTTAGGTGGAACAGTGAAATCTCATTAATCGAGATTAAAACACTAATCTAATCTAATAGCGGTAGGCAGCGGCTTCGCTCTGCCCCTGGAATTACTGAAGTCCATGGGCGACGGTAACCACTCACCATCAGGTGGGCCGTATCCTCGTCTGCCTACAAGAGCAATAACAAAAAAAATAATCTAATCAATGTTTCATCGCACTGTCTACTCTTAAGTCCCCTCCACGATATTTCCTAACCGCCATCACATATCCTTCCAACAAGTTTGAAACTCAGTGGTGGGTAGCAGCTTTGCTGTGTCACTAGTTTTGCTCATGTTCATTATCTAACCCTCAGGTGGGCCGTATGTTCGACCAATATACATGCAAAAATAACAACATTATTTATTAAAATAATATATGATGTCCTTTTTTTATTGCTTAGATGGGCGGACGAGCTCACAAGCCACCAGGTGTGTTTAATGGTTACTGGTGCCCATGGACATCTACAACGTAAATGCCGCCCACCCACCTTGAGATATGAGTTCTAAGGCCTCACTTTATATTGATGCTTCCATTTTATTTTTGAATCGTGCATTACATGCGTTATAAATAATATTTGTAATCACAAAATGACAAATTTAAATTAATATGCAATATTTTGCTGGATTTGTTTTGTAGATAATATTGGTCTACTACATACGAGTATCGTTTCCCAGATGGGTGCACGAATCCACAATACGCCATCGGCACATCCGTCTTGCATTCTATGTTAACATTTTCATTTTCAGTCGCAAATATTGTCTCGACACCGTCGGTTTCCAAGTCTATAAAATGTCTGTAGCCTGCAGAAATTCAACATCATATACCTCTTTGTTTATTTAAAAAAGAACTAATTAGAATTAATCAATCGATACATACCTTGAATTGACGCTGGAAAATTAAATAATATATAGAAACTCAGCAGCACTATACAAATCGACTTACTCATTTTCAAACAGAAATTAACGAGTGAACCAGCCCGTTACTAAAATTTGACTAACTACCCTCTTACTATTCATCTCATTGATAAATAAGTCAAAGGGTCGTTTTTTTGTTTGTTTGAACTATCGATATCAATAATTTTAGAATTCTTACAAAACTTATTTGTGTTTTACTAAGCACCTTTTATCATTAACAACTTCTAATTTATTACTTTTTGTTATCTTTAATACACAATTCTATTTCGTGTCATGTGTTCAGTCGCACTTATGTACATATTTACATTATTATTGTAATGACTGGTAATGTGTGAAGGTTATGGTATAATGTAGCTATAACAATTGTAATTACCTACTTATATCGGTACACGAGCTCTGGGGCTTATCGATTATAAAACCTTAAGGCATGAAATCGTTGTTTATTCTACCCTATAATTGCAGCAGTCGTCGTGGCCTAAAGGATAAGACATCCAGTGCATTCGTGTTGAGCGATACACTGGTGTTCGAATCCCGCACGCGGGTACCTACCAATTTTTCTAATGAAATACGTACTTAACAAATGTTCACGATTGACTTCCACGGTGAAGAAATAACATCGTGTAATAGAAATCAAACCCGCAAAATTATAATTTGCGTAATTAGGTACTGGTGGTAGGACCTCTTGTGAGTCCGCACGGGTAGGTACCACCACCCTGCCTATATCTATCGTTAAGCAGTAATGCGTTTCGGTTTGAAGGGTGGGGTAGCCGTTGTAACTATACTGAGAACTTAGAACTTATATCTCAAGGTGGGTGGCGCATTTACGTTGTAGATGTCTGTGGGCTCCAGTAAACCACTTAACACCATGTGGGTTGTGAGCTCGTCCAAACAAATAAGCAATAAAAAATAATATTGCTATTCTAGCAGACCAAAGTATTGTTTCGAAATAGGCAGGTTGTTAAAATCAGCGGGAAATAGTAAGTAGGTTAGTATCCAATTGAGAGAGGCGAAATCGCATACCCAAAATCCCATAATATCTTTAAACAAAACAATATTCGGTTTCAGCACAAGCGGTCGCGTTTTGAAACAAATTTCCTAGTTCTGTCAACCGGAAACACTCATGAATTAAATGCAAAAAATTTTTTAGCGTTCATATTGAATTTTAGCACATCTAAACTAAAGTGTAGTTTCTGAATAATTGAGTGATTTGATACGGTAAGTCTATGAACTCGCTAATTGAACACGTTATTTCTAATAGCCTACACCTCTCGGTTAAGCAGATAAGCGTGTAGCTCAGAAAAATGTTGGATATTTATAATTTGAACAGTACTTTTTAAAATGAACGCAAGTAAAATTTTCTGGTCGGAAATTACTGGTCTGGCACTACCAGCCTCTCTTCCGCAAAGCAGTCGTGCTTTCCTATTTAGAAAACGGGATAGCCGCTCAGTTTTTCTCGCCGGATCTTCTCAGTGGGTCGCGATTCCGATCCGATGGTAGATTTTACGAAGCACCGCTCTTGTAGTGTTAGCAAATTCTCTCAGGTTGAGCCCGTGAGCTCACCTACCTGTACGGGCGTTGCTAGAATAGCCTCGTAAGCTACCGGCGAATAGGTAAGGAAAGGAAAAAAATGGGATAACCATTGTGGCGGGTAGCCATCATACAACGCAAGATAATTGACAGATGCCTGAATCTCGCTTACGACATTTTCAAGATAAAGCGCATATATACAAGTTCCGAACAACAACATTCGGACCGTGGGTCTACCGAGCAAAATATCACCCGCTCGGTGGAAGATCTTCCCTCCGTCGTTAAGCCACAACCATTATGCATACAGTTCACACATAGCAATGTCTCTGATACCGACTTAAAACACCGAGAGCGCAAGCTCGTTCGCTTGAATGAAAGAAGCGTTCGTGATCTAAGTCATATACATATGTGGGAATGGTAAATAGTTTCTACTACAATGGAAGGTTTTCCGTGTCCACCTTGAAAAGGTATTTGAACCTGAATTCTGAATTCTTTTTTAGGTCGCTTCATAATCAAAAATTATAGTAAAAATAATATAGTAAGTAGTAGTAAACATCAGTATAATCAACAAAACAATTTGAGTTTATTTTTGTTATTTGAAAGGTATTTCAAAACCTCTGATTGATGGACGAACTCATGGCCTAGCTGATTCTAAATCGTTACTGGACGCCTAGACGTCAACTACGTAAATACCTTCACACATCTAGACATATATTTTTATAATTTTGCGGATTTGATTTTTATTACACGAAGTTATTCCTTCACCGTGGAAGTCAATCGTGAACATTTGTCAAATAAGTATTCCATTAGAAAAATTGGTACCCGCCTGCAGGAATCGAACACCGGTGCATCGCTAGATACGAATGCACCGGACGTGTTATCCTTTAGGCCACGAGGACTTAACGTGTAACCGATTTCATATAAATAGATTTAAAACTGATTCCTTTGCAGCTATAATAAAAAAAACATATGTAGTATCAAAACATGGGTAACATCACTACATAGTATAAAACAAAATCGCCTTCTCTGTCCCTATGTATGCTTAAATCTTTAAAACTACGCGACTGATTTTGATGCGGTTTTTTTAATAGATAGAGTGATTGAAGAGGAAGGTTTATATGTATAATAACATCCATTAAATAGTGGAGAAATACTGTTATTTTTGAGGTTTCTAATGTGATGTCGTAAATAATAAAATTTCATGTTTCCGAAGCGAGGGCGGGTCGCCAGTAAATAATAAAATAGTCAATATTTCGTAAAACGTTTTAATCGCACATTCATTCAACAACATAATTAAAATTATTTACAACGCTATGCCACAATTTATTTCCTTCTGTTCCTATTCTTTTTCGTTCTGTCTATCTTCTTGTCGGTGGAGAGTTCTTGCTGAAGTTTCTTCAACATCTGCGGCGTTATGAGTCCCTGAGTGAAGGAACCATCATGTTTATACGAAGAATTTTATGGCCAGAGAATTTCATGTGAAGTTTATGAAATCAGAAAAAAACGGGTCAACGACCTCACGATGTCAATATGACGATCCGTTCCGCTCTGAATAGTTTAGCGCTACCCACAGTTCTTATCTTAAATATTGGTAATGAGAAATGTAAATGGATTTAGTTCATTTTCTTATTTACTTTGAATTTTAAATTTACTTTAACAAACGAAAGAGGTCAACGGATAAGAAAAAAAAACCACAGCGGGAAAATATGAACGAATCAACAAGACAGCAGTGAGTTTTTTTTTTTCGTTTATCTTAATTGCATCAGGTAATTAAAAAATGAAAAGTATTTTATTGGATTTACAGACAGACGTGTATACGTGGTAATCACTAGCACTGCTACTTTTATTTGTCATCGAAATGATACGATTTCGTATACAGTCTTTTTAATAAACTGGTGGTAGGACCTCTGGAGACTCCGCGCGGGTAGGCTATTTCTGCCGTGAAGCAGTAATGCGTTTCGGTTTGAAGGGTGGGGCAGCCGTTGTAACTATACTTGACACCTTAGAACTTATATCTCAAGGTGGGTGGCGGCATTTACGTTGTAGATGTCTCTGGGCTCCAGTAACCACTTAACACCAAGTGGGCTGTGAGCTCGTCCATCCAACAAAGCAATAAAAAAATTTCTTTTGGAAACTAAGTTTTACGGAGAAAATCGATGAACTTTTCCTCCCCAAAAAACCATATAAATCGCTTATATCGCATATAATTCGCTTAACAACAAACACCACTTATTGTTTTGGATAGTTAACTTTTATTTACCCTGGCAACTAGTAATTCCGACAATTTTCCCTTCTCCTCGCCCATTGATTGTCCGGCCAGCATCTTATTGACCCTCTTGCTGCCGTGGCCGATCGCAAAGCCGCTGTCCTCATCGCGGATCATCTGTTCAGAATTTCTTAGTAACCTGTAACAAATATTGTCATTTGCGATTGTTAAAGTGAAACTTTTATTATATCGACTCAAACTTTTTCGTCTGTGTGTTGCATGTCGCGTGACGGTCGACCGCGGAGTAGGGATAAAGTAAAAGGCGCTCGTCAGAGCAGCCAAGGCCAATATGGCGGCGCCTATAGTTCGCAGCCGCTGACCGTGTAGTGTATAGACTATTACTCATTTGTGCCAGTGCCGAACGCTATTTTCTTTTTGTTTTTGTCAGTGTTAAATGTCTATAATGTGAAAAAAAAATTTCACTTTTACTGTGGTTTCATAAAACCACACAATCTTTTTTTTTTGGACACTTTACTTACGTAGCTTGACCTCTATGTACGTAACAGTATCTTTAAACGTAACTTTCACCAACTTTAAGATATCCGATTAAGTTTAAAAGTTGGACACGTAACTTAAAATACTGTAGTGGTAGCTACCACACAACACAAGATACATAGGCGGCACTGAAAATTTCTGGAATTAACGAAGTGACACAACATTACTATTTAAAAATGTATTTATTGCTTTTCGAAGTATTCTCCGCGAAATTTGACACATTTTTCCATACGATGGAACCAATCATTGAAGCAACCATTCCATTCGGAAGTTGGGGTCTCCAAAATGGCCGTTTTGTAGGCGTCCACAGCTTCTTCAGGTGATGAAAATCTCTGTCCACGCAATTTATTCTTTATTTTAGGGAAAGTATAGAAATCATTAGGGCTTAGGTCGGGGCTGTACGGCGGATGGTCTAATAATTCTATGTTTTCTTGCTCTAAAAACTCTTTTGTTCTGTGCGCGGTGTGAGAACTCGCATTGTCGTGATGGAGGATGATGCGGCGGTTGCAGTTCTCTTTACGGAGTTCAGAAACGACCTGTGGCAAACAAATGCTAGCATACCATTCTGCATTAACCGTTCTTTGTCCCTCAAGAGGAATAGTCGTAACATGGCCGGTTTTGGAGACAAACGTGGCCACCATTTTTTTTGCAACACTCCGTGAACGAACAATTTTTGTTGGCTTTAACTCATTTTCGAACACCCAAACTCGTGACTGGTTTTTTGTTTCGGGTTCGTACGCGTATATCCAGGATTCGTCACCTGATACAATGTTGTATACAGCATTTGAGGATCCTGCGTGGAATCTTTCGAGAGTTCTGACGCACCAAGTAACGCGAGCCGCTTTTTGCTCTTCACAGAGCGAATGCGGTATCCATCGGGAAAACAACTTTTTTACACCTAATTGTTCATGCAAGATTATTTGTATTTGACTCATGCCAATGTCTAAAGTTGCCTGAATTTCGCGGTATGTCACATGTCGATCTTCCTCAATCAGCTTACGCACAGCATCAACGTTTTCTTGGGTGACTGCAGTTTTTGGACGACCTTGACGGGGATCATCACTGAGCTTGACACGTCCACGTTGAAACTCAGCAAACCAGCGATAAATTGTGGTTTTGGATGGGGCTTCATCACCAAATGCAGAAATCATCCGGTCAACACACTGTTTTTGTGTTAAACCACTTCGAAAGTCATAATAAATCATCGCTCTTGAATTTTCTCGAGTCAATTCCATTTTCTCAACGACTAAACAAGTTTGACAAAACCTCGTGACAAGACCGAGAATCTTTTTTTAAATAAATAAATGGTATTCGATTTTTAAAACCAAGGAGTTTTCAATTAAAAAGATTTTAATATGACAGGAACAGTGGAAATATTCCATTCTCGATACTTTTAGTGCAGCCCACGTATTTGACAGATGCCTGAATCTCGCTTACGACAATATTAAGATAACGAAGTCTGCCGAGAATTTTCATCCACTCGGTGGAAGAAGAAGTCATTGACACAGAAATGTGGTTAGGTACTCTAATTATTAGTTCTGTTTTCTATTAAAACGTATATATGCTTTTTAGTTATTGAACTACACGCATCCTTATAATTATTCATAACGACTGTGTTATCCATTAAATATCTTTTTAATACTTTATCAAAAAACTTATTTTACTTAATTATAACTTCTTTTTATCTTGTGTGTTGAAAGCTTTTTTCTCAGAAAATATTAATAAGTACCAATATCTACAATGGCCAAACCTATGGCCAAACATGTACCCATACATACATCTTCAAGGAATAATAAAATTTCAGCAGTAAGTTTTCATAGCTCACCTAGTTATTTGGAAAATTCCTTGTTGAATGATAGCGTCTAATTCAGTCTCCATGTCACGAACTAATTTCACGTCCGGAAACATGTCCGGAAATCGATAGCTGTCAACAAAAGCGTAATGACAATTATGAGCACTATTACAATGTGTTATGACTAATCTAAGTTGGAAGCTTCACCAAATAGTTTATTCAATATTGTCCTTCTATTTGCTATAGATGGGTCGAGTATACGTGGTTGAACCGCCTTGGAACATGAGTAATTTCTTCGCGGCAGAAATGGACGGGCTCGTGGTACCCAGACGGGCGGGATACGATACGCTTTATCAATGCACTAGTGCGACTTTCTTAAAAAACTTATGACAGATGGCGCGCGTGTAGTTTTAGCAAATAGGTTTTGTTCTCGCATTTAGTGACAGTGACATGTCGTCTTTTCGCATTAAAAGTATAAAATTTCCAACCAGTATTTTTCTCGTAAATACTGTCAAAAGAGCGTAGTTTAGTTTTAGTTTTCTTTTTTAATGTATACTTATATTTTGACTACTATTAACAAAATTAATACATAATTTTTACTTCCTTTAAAAGACAGATAATGTAACTGGTAAAAACTAAAAAAATAAATGTTGCAAAGATGATTAATATTAAAAATATCATATGTTAAACCTTTAAAACACTCTCCTGTAAAATTAGTAAGTTTTGAGATTACACAGTTTTAATGCGAGAAGACGATATGTTCTAGGGTCTCGAGTATCGTTACGACAGCTGCCCCTCCTTTCAAACCGAAACGAATTACTGCTTCACGACAGAAATAGACCGGGTGGTGGTACCTACCCGTGCGGACTCACAAGAGGTCCTACCACCAGTAATTACACAAATTATAATTTTGCGGGTTGGATTTTGATTACACAATGTTATTCCTTCACCGTGGAAATCAATCGCGAACATTCGCGTAAGTATTTCATTAAAAAAATAGGTACCAGCCTGGGCTTCGAACACCGGTGCATCGCTCAACGCGAATGCACCGAATGTCTTATCCTTTAGGCCACGTCGACTTCAAACATGTGTAAGATCGTAGCAGAGTTTCAGAATATAAAATTACCTTAACCACAAGTAAAGCTCTAGGACGTCAAAGACAGATTCCAAGTGCACGAGGTCGAGTATTGTCCTAGGAGAGGGCAGCGGCCACTCCACCGTGCCGCTCAGCCAGTTCCGGGTGATGGGCTCGTTGCGACTGTACTGCCTCACCATCTGGAACGACGCGGCGGTTGTAACGAGTAGCACCGGCCACAACGTGCGGCTGGCCGCGTGCCACAGACTATACTATACATTCACTCATTCATTATATCAATCAATTGCATGCCAATTGCAGATATCCGGACACTAAGCCAGGCCGGCCGCGCGACGCGTGCCACAGAATACACTATACATTCACTCGTTCATTATAACAACCAATTGCATGCCAATGGCAAAGATATCCGGACAAAACGCCCAGTCGGCCGCGTGACGCGTGCCACAGACTACACTATACATTCACTCATGTCAATTGCAAAGACATCCACGTTTCGGCATATAGAGTTAAAATTTATAGTATTAAAATTGAGTTGTAATTTGTTCTATTGATAGAAACAGATGTATGTATTGGTAACACTTTTAAATATCAATTAGATTTATTTATTTATTACAAATTTGATTGCTATAATGAATTCTAGCACCAACTAGCGACCCGCCCTCGCTTCGCTTCGGAAACATTAAATTTTATTATTGATAGTTGAGTCCCGCGATGTTACCCGCGGTTGTTGTCGTACCGCGGGCGAAGCTAGTCTAAAAAAGGTAGCCTAAGTTACTCCTTATATCATCAGCTACCTATCAGTGAAAGTCCCGTTAAAATCGGTCAAGCCGTTCCAGAGATTAGCCAGAACAAACAGACAGACAAAAATTGTAAAAAATTTTATTTTGGTGTATGTACCGTATATATTCATATGCATGTAGTAAAAAGAGGCTATTTCAATATTACAAACAGACACTACAATTTTATTTATATTTATAGACTAGCTGTACCCGTTCGCTTCGCTGGGCATTTAAAATTAACATCATTATTTCTCACCCCCACAAACGTTCTCATTAACGCCCCCGCAACTGGTGTAGGGAGTCCAACACACATAAATGGCTATCCACTTGGTATGAGGTCTCGCGTTGTATTAGGTCCCGCGTTGTATGAGGTCTCGCGTTGTATGAGGTCCCGGGTTGTATGAGGTCTCGCGTTGTATGAGGTCTCGTGTTGTATGAGGTCTCGCGTTGTATGAGGTCTCACGTTGTATGAGGTCTCGCGTTGTATGAAGTCTCGCGTTGTATTAGGTCACGCGTTGTATGAAGTCTCGCGTTGTATGAGGTCTGGCGTTGTATGAGGTCTCGCGTTGTATGAGGTGTCGCGTTGTGTGGGGTCTCGCGGTCAATTTTATTATTGTTTTAATATTCAATTATTCTGGACCAATTATAATTGCATAAGTTGATAAAAAAATGCTTTGCAATATCTTTACCGCGGCACAGCTTTTCCCCGAGTGCGACACGTGTTTTTATCTTATATATATTTAAATAAAAATGAATCGCAGTTCGTTAGTCTCGCTTTAGCTTTTACTTTAGCTTTAGCTTTAGTTTGAACTCGAGAACGGCTGGACCGATTTGGCTAATTTTGGTCTTGAATTATTTGTGGAAGTCCAGAGAAGGTTTAAAAGATAGATAAATATGAAAATGCTCGGAATGAAATAAAAAATAACAATTTAGTTTTTCCTTTGACGTGTCCCCCGTCGGACGGATTATTTTTGTTTGTTTTAAGTTTATTTTATAGAAAAGTTTAGGTCTTTTATTTATGGATTGAGGCACTACGAAGTCTGCCGGGTCAGCTAGTTTTTTGATATATATTGAACTTGAACATACTCACTTTCAGGAAGGTGGCACAAACGAACGGTAGCTTGTTATTGATGGGCGCGCAACAGAACACGTAGCGCGCCCGCAGCGGCAACGGAACGTGCTGTATCATCTCCGCTAAGAACTTGAACCCCTCCGTGTTGCACATGAAGTAGAGCGAATCGTCGACCGTGCACAAGTGAACGAATATGTCCTGAAACATTAAGATGTATCGGTGATCGTGTCGGGCATTGTCAATCGCATATTTATGTGAAAACTGAACGAATTCAAATCCTGTTCTAGAATGATTATTTAAGTTAAGGTTAAGCCGCTGAACGTATTATAACTTTTCGGGATCCTCCAAAAAGTCCACTGAAAAAATCTCCGTAAATGACCACCATTTTACTGAGATTATATTTCATCTCATATCCTCTCATCTCATTTCATTTAATTTCACTCCATATCATCATTTTTCATAAAAATTAGAATATAAATTAAAATAAGACATGACTTAAAGATCTTATTTACCAGGTCATAAAATCCCTTAAAAAAGTCTATGACTGAATAGAATCATAATAGTGTACAAATTTATAATTTCAATTCTCAATTATCGTCAAATTACAACTACCGGGGGACCACTAGTTATAGTTAAAAAAACGTGGTATGCGCGTTTAATTACGTTTAATGTAACTTTAATATTGATAGAAACAAGCATTCACCATCAGACTGCTGAGAGTGGCGTGGGGCAGATGGTAGGCGTACAGCTCCATCTGCTCGGAGGTGGGGTGCAGGCCGGCCTGCGTGACCGGCTCGGGCGGCTGGGACAGCAGCATCTTCAGCGTCGCGAGGTCTTCGGGCCGGTAGGAGGTCACGTGGCCGGTCTCCCACGCGCTGCCATAGCGACCGGCCCGACCTTCAGAACAACAACACTTGAACTCCAATAGCGTATATATTTACTTTTTTTTTTATTGCTTAGTTGGGTGGACGAGCTCACAGCCCACCTGTTGTTAGGTGATTACTGGAGCCCATAGACTCTACAACGTAAATGCGCCACCCACCTTAAGATATAAGTTCTAAGATCTCAGTATAGTTACAACGGCTGCCCTACCCTTCAAACCGAAACACATTACTGCTCCACGGCAGAAATAGAGAGGGTGGTGGTACCTACCCGCGCGGAATCACAAGAGGTCTTACCACCAGTAAAATTTATTTATTTATATACGGCCCTAAACACGTCATTACGGATCCTCCCGATCTATTAACGGTGCTTTTAGGTACCACAAGCACTGGTCCCCGTACTTGTCGAACCCGTCGCTTGCGACGAAGGACTCGACGAGTAAATTAACCCATAGACACAGCCCACGGAGTTTCTCGCCGAATCTTCTCAGTGGGTCGCGTTTCCGATCCGGTGGTAGATTCTGCGAAGCACTGCTCTTGCTAGGGCCAGTGTTAACAGCAGTCCGGTTTTGAAGTCGTCGTGGCCTAAAGGATAAGACGTCCGGTGCATTCATATCGAGCGATGCACCGGTGTTCGAATCTCAGGCGGGTACCAATTTTTCTAATGAAATACGTACTTAGCAAATGTCCACTATTGACTTCCACGGTGAAGGAATAACATCGTGCAATAAAAATCAAACCCGCAAAATTATAATTTGCGTAATTACTGGTGGTAGGACCTCTTGTGAGTCCGCGCGAGTAGGTATTGCCTATTTCTGCCGTGAAGCAGTAATGCGTTTCGGTTTGAAGGGTGGGGCAGCCGTTGTGACTATACTGAGACCTTAGAACTATGTCTCAAGGAGTGTGGCGCATTTACGTTGTAGATGTCTATGGGCTCCCTTAACCACTTAACACCAGGTGGGCTGTGAGCTCGTTCACACATGTAAGCAATAAAGAGCTCACCTACACGTCAAGAAGCTGAAATAGCCTCTCAAGGCTGTCAGCATAGGTAGGAGAAAAAAAATAATATATATATACGTGATTCTGTATTCCTGTTTGTACAGTACAGCATATACATGTTCGAAACGAGGAACTTCATTGAATACGACAAAATTATAAAATGAATTTTAGAAAATCACATCAACCGCATTGAAATTGTTATTGTTATATTTCATAACAGTTTTAGAGTTTAATGCGAAATGACAAAAATAATTGCGTTAAGCCGAAAATTAAAAAAAGCTGATTCCAATTCTTGGCAATACTGCTCACCTGCAATCTGCAACGCTTGTGATATACTGATAACGTCCATCTCTTTCTCACCGTCTTCATTAATTACCGGTTTGATTAATGAGTAAAAGATTATCCGCCGGATGCTCCTGTAAAATAAAGATGTTTACACAATACTATGCATATACATATGTATATTTAAAGAAAATGTTTGTTATTCAAAATCTACACATTCTTCTTTTGTTTCTTTCATTTCTTTCACGAATACGATTGCAAAATGATATGTAATGATGATGATTATATATTCGTCGCTACATTTAAAACGGGCGCGTGTGAGAGAGAGAGAGATACCACGGTGTTCCTACACAATAGCTACTATGATATATGATACTGTATATTTAGCCCACTGAGTTTTTTTTTATTGACCTTGTAGACAGACGAGCATACGGCCCACCTGATGATGAGTGGTTACAGTCGCCCATGGACTTCAGCAATGCCAGGGGCAGAGCCAAGCCGCTGTCTACCGTTAAATACTCCCCACAAGCCTCGTTTGAAGAAGGATATGTCATAGCGCTCGGGAAACACTGTGGATCTCATTCCAAATCCGGATGGTACGTGGCAAAAAAGATCTCTGGAAACGCACTGTGGATGAACCCAGTGGCTCCAGGTAGTATGGATGAACTCTACTGCGGTGGCGGCCGGTTCTAGCCGGATCTTCTCAGTGGGTCGCGATTGCGATTCGGTGGGAGATTCTGCGAATCACTGCTCTTGCTAGGGCTAGTGTTAGCAAATTCTCTTAGGTTGAGCCCGTGAGCTCACCTACCCATCCGAGTGTAGCTGGAAAAGCCTCTTAAGCTACCAACGAATAGGTAGGAAAAAAAATAATGCTGTTTACTGCATTCAAATAGTGATTTAAGAAGACCAATGTGTTTCATTAAGCCTTTTTATTGTTTGAAACTTGAAAATCTTATAAAAAAAAAACAGTAAATAAATTCCGACTTCAAATTCCAATAACAAATGTTTTAAATTTGCATAGCTTTATTCACTTCGCAGTTAACGCTCCTATTTATGTACGTTTACATACAAATTTATGCAAATACTTACAAATTTATACATGTACTAACAAAGGACAATGCCCATTTTCTATGGGCGTTTGGGCCCCTAAAAAAAGTTGTCCTGTCATGATGGTTTTAACTTAATTTGATAGACAAAGAAATATCGTTTCATATTCAGAAAACGATTTTTATATTCTCACCCAGGTTTAAGAGAAATCTGTTTTTTTCTGCAGCTAAAATTAAGTTGTTAATTGTTTTCTTCGAAATCAATAATCGCTCTCATAATTATTTACAGTATTAAATAAGTTAATTGTGGTTAATGTTGCTAGAAATAAGCCCTTACGTACATTTTATTATTATTATATCCTCATAATAATAATAAAATGAAATGAAAATCCGGAAGCCGGCAACGATATTGTTGTTGTTGTTTTTAAATTCACCAATAAGCAGGCAAAGAGCGTAGCCTATACAGCCTAGTCTGTCGAAGTTATATATTTTTTATGTCAATAAAAAGCCGGTGTATCTCTTTTTATTGCTTTTTGGGAGTTTTGACGTCAACTCGACGAATACCACATTGACTGAGTATGAGTTTACGCAGACCTTTTATACACAATATTACAAATACAAATAATACAAATTACACAATAAACTATTAAAAAAACATTAAAATTAAAATGCAAGTGACGCTTCACTCAGGTTGCAGCCAAAACTCTCTGATCATATATAATAAGAATAGAGTAATGCTAGGCCATCGATATTTTTACTAATGGAATCATTATTATCTAAAAATATTAAATAATTCATGGTTTTAAGTAATAATTATTATTACAATATATAAATATTGAATTGAACAAAAATAAACTAAGAAGCCTGTGAATTACAAGCATTAGCTATTTTTTTTAATTTGTTGTTCAAGTCACAAACAACTCTTTCGTTTGACAGCATATAGGTTTGCTATAAGGCTGTATGGGCTAAGCCCTTTGCCTATTGGCGAATTTAAAAACTGTGGCATGGATAGTTTTGGTATGTTATCAAATAAGTAATTTATTTTTTTGGAAAACAATGCCAGGTTGAAAGAAATGTTGATACATAAACTAAAGAACGTGAAAAAATAAGGCATAGTTTTTCAAGTACAAATAGTTTTGACATAAAATTGGCCCACTTTTGGGCATTGTCCTTTACAAAAATACTTACAAATTTATACCGAGTCCAATGGCGTCTGTCGCAACCATAACTTTACACGAACTCTCCGGGTCATTGAACTTGTTGGCCTGAGCTAATTTAGTACCTGGTGGTAAACTGCCATAGATAACTGCTACCTCATGTCCTCTGAAATATATCTTTCAATCAAGTCTTTTTTACTTTATGCAACCTTCATTAAATTCTATGTTTTCACACAAACACAGACACACATAAATATGGAAGTGCTTCTAAACAGATCACAATTTCATTTCAGTCTACACAGAATGGTACAAAAGAAATTACAAGTGGCTTTCATTCCTATTTGTGTATCTGAAATCATAATAATATGGAAAAAAAACATTTACTATAAAAGCCACATATGTTGAACAAATCATAAATTATTTCAATTTAAAAAATTGACTTGCTTGTAGTGTGGCAATATCTGTTGCTTAAACTAAATATAGTAGGATTATTTTGTCCGTGCAGTTTGGGTCATAAAAAATCGGAGCGGTGCAGCGAGTATTTCGCTCTCTCTTCCACTCACGAGTCTTATGGACGGGCATAGTGATGCGCATTATTGTTGTCGATAAGCGTTAACGATAGTGTATTTGATTTTGTCATTTTGTGGGTTAGTGATAAAAATGAAAGAAAAATATCACAAAATCACTAATCGAACACTTACACCACACATCGCCGCAGCAAGTTAACGAATACGGCAGAAATTAACACTGTGTAACTTTTCGGGATCTATTCTTATTTGAATGAAAAATTTTAACTCATTGTTGATAACAACACGTGCACATATTATTTTGAATAAATTCTTCCGTTTTATATCTATACCACCTTTCGTATACCGCCCCGCCGCCGTATACCTGACTTCGATGACTCATTTGTTTTTATCGATAATGGCATTGCGCCCGCGCAACATGGTCACCGCCCTAGCCGGGCTATGTTTTATGACCCAAACTGCACGGACAAAATAATTCTACTATAGTTAGGGAATAGTTCAAACTATAGAATTAGCAAAGACTGTCACTAGTAAAACAGCTCATATTGCGCTTTTACTTTTACTACTTTAAATAATCTTCAGAAAAAAGGTCCCTAACCTAGATTCTTTTAAATTACAGAAATATGCCATGCCAAATATATAATTATTTAAACTTTAGAACAATTTCCAACATTTAAGTTAAATTCCTTTTTTTTATTGGAAAAAAATTAATGATTGCATTGCATCTTACAAATGGGAATACATCAGATACTCTTACCACAATAACATTGATAGCTGCATCAGAAACATTTCATCAATATGTAACATCAAATTCAACAACAATAGAACTAGCCCAGCAATTTTGCTGAACAATATTTTATTAACACTTGAAATAACAAAAAAGTTGTCTAGAAATATTGACATTTTTAGTATCATAATACTAACTAATACTAACAATATCATAAGTAATGGCAGGGCTATGAATAGATTAGAATGAAAATGTGGTCCATGTCGAAATACTAATATTCATTTAATTATATGTATGTATCATGTATTCAACACACATTCTCACTATGGTCATGATTATGGCAACATTCCTTGAACATGTTGAAGAAAACTTAAATTTCTATTCTGTAATCTAAAATTATATTTTATCTAATGGGATACCTGCCTCAATATAGGACTGACCTCTGTTCAATGGCTCGACTTACACTGTAAATGTCGTTTTTATTGAAACACACAATACAGTCTCCGGGCTGAACATTGTCTAATGATCCTAAAGCGGTATCTTCGACTTTTAGCTGTGTTAATCTTTTGTACGAACGAACCTGAAAATCAAAACCTTTAATATTAGACTACCTTAAAAATAACAATACCCTATTTTCCTAAGAATATATCTTTTGACATTTTTACCTCCATTTCTTCACCGGTTGTGTTACAAATTTCTTCAATGAGATTTATTGCACCTGCCTCCCCACATAAATGTATTTCATCTGCTTGTAAACCTACAAAAGGTGAAATATTTTTACAAACCATTTTTCACTTTACATGAAAAAAAGCTTTACTGGTGGTAGGAAATCTTGTGAGTCCGCACAGGTAGGTAACACCCTGCCTATTTTTCCCGTGAAGCAGTAATGCGTTTCGGTTCGAAGGGTGGAGCAGCCATTGTACTATACTGAAACCTTAGAGCTCGTATCTCAAGGTGGGTGGCGGCAATTACGTTGTAGATGTCTATGGGCTCCGGTGAATACTTAACACCAGGTGGGCTGTGAGCTCGTCCACCGATCTATGCAATAAAAAAAATAAAAAAGCTGCAATCTCTTATTAACAAAATACTTTACCTAATATAGCTCGAGTCCATGCCCACCCTCTTCCTCTATCTCCTATCATTTGTATTTCATCTATGATTGCCACTTCATCTGTGAAAGAATAATGTTATGAAATCTTGTTTAACTAGCAAACACCATTGCGAGAGTCATTACAAATACAAATCTATATCATCAATAGTTCGTCTTAGATGTGATAACTCATGGCCAGGATTACATTTCATTCAACATTATAAGATGAACAACCTGAATAACTTACACTTATTATTTAGAGAAGTCATTTCAACTGTACATGCAACATGACCAGACGGTGTTAATTCGGTTTCTTCTAACAAATAAGGTTCGACATCTGATGTCTCTATGTCATTATCATCTGTACCATTTATTAAGGTGTTGTATAATGAAGCGTGCCTTCTTTCTTCTCCTGTTACCAGATCACAGGGTGTGCCCTGGAAATGCAAGTGTATATTGCAGCACACAATTCAAATTCATTCACATTAATTTCAGTTTTAATCCCCAATAATGAACATTGTATTAATTTTTTTTTGTTGCCGGAATCAAAGTACTTTACAATGCTTTAAGAATTACAGTAAAAGCTTATTAGCGATTTTGTCATTCGCGGATTTAATAATGCTACCCAATTCCTATATTCGCAGTTAGAGATTTATTTATTTGCGGATCTAATCGGTACATTGGTAAAACACAAAGGAGTTAATTGAAAAAAAAATTTTTTCGTTAAATTAACGCTTGGGCCGATTGTGCCTCTCTATCGCTTGTGCCGCGCTCTTGCTTGCATGCTCATGTGAAACGTGACACTTTTTCGTGCGTGCAATCGGTGTTCATCAATTTATAAGACGCTATCATGTCGAAACGAAAATGTATATGTACATACTATAAACCCACATTTATAATATCTGATAGTCAAATATATAGTAGTAATACCTAACAGCTATCCCTAAATTACCTAGGTTTTAAAAGTATTCAATTTATGATATACATATTACACTTACACTTTTATTTGATTTATGATATATCTCAGTCGCTAGTAACTTTAAGGGACCACAGTACACACCAGATTTCGATTTTAGGAATCTCTCCATTGCATGATAAGTTTTTCCTGAATTTGTGGGACCTGCATGAAATATAATTTTGCGATCCATACTTCGAGCTTCAGGATACCTGGAATTTTATCTGAATTATTAGTGTTAGTTGAAATTAGCATTCATGCTCATCATAGTCTAGGAATAGCCCATTCAAAACAATGGAGTGCTGGAATAATGCACTGGTGCATTATTCCAGCTCTCTGACACCATGTTCAACCAGATTACCAATGCTGTTTTACAATATGCCAGTAAAAGGTAATTGGTAATTACAGTACACTGGGATAGTACTGAATGAATGCTGCTGCCCATTCTCAGCTGAATCCCTTAAGACATTTATTATGAAAAGGAGAAGTGCTTTTTTAGATTTTTTTCCCTGCCTATGCTTATAGCCTTGAGAGGCTATTTCAGCTTCTTGATATTTAGGTGAGGTCATGGGGCTGAAACCGGAGTGCTGCTAACACTGGCCCATTTTCAGGGGCAGTGCTATGCAGAATCTACCACCGGATCGCAAATACGACCCACTGAGAAGATCCAGCGAGATCAGTGAGCTGTGTCTATGGGTTAATCTACTCATCCAGCCCTTCGTTGCAAGTGTCAAGTTCGTCGAAGACAGTGAACGGTGCTTGCGGTACGTAAAAGCACCGTTAATGGATCAGAGGGATCCATAATGACACATTTCTACTGATTTTGACAGTCAAATTATTATTCAGGTGATTCACTATTTAAGCTATTTACTTTAGTTAGAAATCTTTTACGTGAGTAAGTTTTATTAGCACTAGAATATTTACCAGTTTGCTGGTGTTCTCAAATCTGATATCTTTTTCAAGTCTTCCAAACAGTCAAGGTGCGGAAATGCTCGTCTTGCATGCCTCAAGAAGTATGGAAACAAATCATCAACATGTCCTGCACCTAAAATGGATATTTAAAACATTTATTGCCCTTGTAGGTAGACAAGTATAGGGCCCACCTGATGGTGAATGGTTACCGTCGCCCATGGACAATGTCAACCAATGAGGTTGGTCCCTAGGCATGGTAGAACCAAAATAGCCCATCAAGCAACTGGCAAATAGAAAGGCAAAAATGAAATGAGACTGAACTGCTTTGATTCATTCACAGAGTAAGAGACTCATACTAATTGGACTAAATAAGCACATTTAGGATGTCATGTATAATCAAAGTAACAAAATGTGTAACAATAATGTTCAGAGACTGCAACCATATTTTGGTTTCCAGGAATCCATTCTTCATCCTTGCCAGTCCTCATCTATTAAAAACCGTTAATAGCACAAAAACATTAACACTGTTACAACTGTTGTTAATATTCTTCTATTCAGTTTTAAAAAGTAATCCAAGTTAAACATCGACATATTGGGATATTTTTTTACTGAGGTTTGCTATAGACATCTAGATTTATTTATTAAGCAGTATCTAATAGCAAAATAAAATCAACGAATGGGAGTTTACACTATATAAATTCAGTTAACCTTACCTTGAAGTATATCACTGATCGTAATATGTAAGTCTGGTGGTAAATCATGTTCTAAACAATGCCGTCTGAATGAAAGGAAAGCTTGATGTAACAATTGATCATCCAATCCATTTTCTGAAGCAAGCACTCTGATTTCAGGTTTTTGGTAAAATTTGTTAAGAATTTTTAACAGGTCTTGTTTTTTTAGACGTCCTGTAAATTCTTCCCCAATGTTTATGTCATCGGAGTTTGGTTTCACTGGCACTGGCACAAATAAAGCAGAAGGATTCCGATCATGTTTTTTAGTTCTTACCAAAATATAACCTATACCGGCGGGTTTGAGTTTACGGGCGCACAAGATATTACATCTGAGATTTGATACATTAAGTTGTAATTTTTCTACATTATGAAGGGCTAATATTCTGGAAAACCCTTTATACATTTTGAAATAAATAAAAGTAAATTGACTAAGAATTTATGTCGTTTTTGTCACATTCCGATAGCCCAGTGCTGCCAAATTTCAGTCGTTTTTTTTTTAAGAGATTTTATGACCTGGTAACTAAGACCTTTAAGTTATGTCTTATTTTACATAATATTCTTAATTTTATGAAAAATGATAATATGGAGTGAAATGAAATGAAGATGATTAATTTGACACATTAATCAACTGGGATGAAATTTAATGAAATGAGATGATATAGGATGAAATATAATCGCAATAAAATGGTGGTCATTTACTGAGATTTTTTCAGTGGACTTTTTGGAGGAACCCGAGAAGTTACGTCCAGCAGCTTTGTTTCATTTTCCCACATTTGTGCACTTTCACAGATATTAAACAGTTAATAAACCACCGTTATTACACATTTAAACCTGAAGAAACACTAAATAGACAAAATAAGACAAATCACACAACTTCACTCCTCGCGTTCCCGCCAAAAAGTCCCAATTTCAGTGGTAGGTAATTTAAGCCATAGATTATACACATAATATACTTAAGCAATGTCAAAATGTCATAGTACCTACGTGACGATATTAATGATAATAATCACTGAACTACTTTAAATTTCAAATATATACGAAAATATATAATACCAAAATACCAAATTTAGATTTAGAACTCATTATTTTATCCCGTCGTACAAACCGATATTAAATTAACTCACTTTTTGATACTGGTGGTAGGACCTCTTGTGAGTCCGCGCGGGTGGGTACCACCACCCTGCCTATTTCTGCCGTGAAGCAGTAATGCGTTTCGGTTTGAAGGGTGGGGCAGCCGTTGTAACTATACTTGAGACCTTAGAACTTGTATCTCAAGGTGGGTGGCGCATTTACGTTGTGGATGTCTATGGGCTCCAGTAACCACTTAACACCAGGTGGGCTGTGAGCTCGTCCACCCACCTAAGCAATAAAAAAAAAAAAAACGTAAAAGACCATTTAATTTGATTAATGCTATGTACCTAGTCATGTAGCGTTCTATTAAAATTTATAGTACTATCGATTTATAATTCTACGGAGATCAAATAAGTTAACGATTATACGCCACCGCATTCCTACCAGAGCAAAAGGTAGTGATTATATACTCTTTGAGAGCTAATAAAATTATTGTCCGAAAATTGACAAACCGTACAACGGAATTTCAAGTTTCGTATCTATGTACATATCTATAAACGGAACAGTTTTAGCTTTGTAGAACTTGAGACAACGAATGAAGATAAATTTTGTGAAATACAATACCAGTGCTTCCAAATGCGGGTTTTAATGAAAAGCTACACGCTCGCTGGAAAAAAGTCCTACGTTTTTGGCTGAAACGTTAGGAGTGAAGGGTTATTTTATTTTTATCATGCAAACATGAAATGGTGTTGAGGGAGCTCATATAGAGTCCCTTCTTTATTTCGTATCGTCGTGTTTTATGTAATTAACACCACAGTTGGAACAATATAAATTTTATTGATATAGCGGCATAAAGTAATTACATTAAATTAGTTATTTAACACTTTATAAATTATTTTCATGTTTTTCATATTTGGCGGTAAAAAGGTCTCCTGTCACAGACTATATCCTTTTTCCCACATCTCGTGCGTTCCGGCTTACGCATAATAAAACGCCACAGTGTCATATCAAATTCTTAACCGCTTAGCTCAAGTAAAAATGTAGGATAGTAAGAAATAGCTGAAGGTCATTTTTGAAATTGATCAAAATAGTCGTACTTCTCAGGTTGTCGTAGTTGTATTTCTAAAAAAATACTTCCATTATTTAATATATTTTTACTATATTTTTTTATCTCACAATTCATGTTAGATGAATTAATTTAAATTTATTTTTAATATCATAGAAATGGCAGTGGCTTTTTAACTTTTCACTGCCATTTTTTTCATCCTTTAAAAAGGACACATTAAAAAAATTTGGCTTTAATGACAAGAAACCACGCCGTAAGGTTAGAAAGATTAAAAAAACTCACAAAATAATTTGACATGAGAATTGTTAGTTCCAGTGACATATGACATATTAGTGGAACGGACACGAAGGCGAATAGTCGGAAATTACATTTTTTCAAGAATAAATTGTAGTGCTGAGTGCGCTTATTTCAATTCACATGATAGAAATCGCAAAATACGCAATAACCGAACATTATAACACTGGGATTGTGACTTAATAAAGATATTGAATATCAATATGGGTAAAGCAAAAAAGGGCAAGAAGAATCAAACCACTGAAGAGGGGTGAGCGAAATCTATCTTGGCATATGTTTTCTATGAAGTTTGCCAAGCACTGCGATGATATCTAACGAATTTGTGTGTGTTTTAGCGACAGCGATATTGAAACGACAAATATCAGCAATGCGAAGCCGGTTCAGAAAGTAAAAAAGTGAGTCGATTAGTATTTTGTAGGTTAGAGTGCTGGTCATTGCCACACATAACAGCTGTTTTCGGTAATTCATCTTGAAACATGTATAACTTCGTTAGTTTACTGAACTTTTATTTCTTTCTTTTTTTAACATTAACATGACCATGGTATATTTTGCAAATAATTGTATTTTGAATTGTTCCTTTCTTATAAAAAAGTTAGAACTACAGTTACGAAAACATCATGTTATTTTAGAATTGTTGATTCTGATGAAAGTGAAGAAGAAAAACCTAAGGCAAAAACAAAATCGAAAAAGTCAATTGATGAAGATGTAAAGGAAGTCACAAAGAATTTAAAAAATGTATCCGTAACAAACAAGTCTCAAAAGAAAAAAGCTGATGTAACTAGTGAAGGTGAGTCTTATCCTAAATCAAACATAAATGTAATTAATGCAAAATTGGGGAACTTGTTCTTAAGTATATTATTATTCTTTGATCCAAATAAAATGTCATATTATTACTTAGCTATCATCTTACCTATTTTATGTAAATGATACTATGCCAATAATCTTTCCAATTTTCGTGTCTTATCTAAGCTTGCTGTAAATTTCAGTCTTATTTGATTCTGATAATTATCATTATGAGTTAAAACTTTACAGTTTCAAGCTCTCAGAGAATGTCTGAAGTTAAATAAATTAAAAAAATGTGGAGGAATGGGTGGATCTCATCTGCACCCTTCTGTTATAAATTGATTGTGACATGAATGCTGAAACCTGAGTTCAAAGTTTCAGTTGCATTGTATAATACCTGACTTACTCTGCAAACTGAATGTATATTTGCTTCATGGCAGAATCAGTTATGATGGTGGAGAATACCACTGCAGGTAGATTAAGACTTGCTTAATTATAATATTATCTATTATTAGTTCATTAAACTTGACTGTTATATACTATTAGAACTTATATGTACAACATATCTGTAATCTTATACCTTTAAACGAGAAATTCTTGTATATATATATATAATCTGAATCTCGGAAACGGCTCCAACGATTTTCATAAAATTTAGTATACAGGGGATTTCGGGGGCGATAAATCGATCTAGCTACGATTTATTTTCAGAAAATGTTGATTTATTCGTGTTTTCAATTAACGATAATCAACTTTATGACTCTTCCCAACATCTATTGGTGAATAATAATACTATTTTTACTGCTTTAAAGACACAACAAGATGACGTTATAAAAAAAAAAGCTGAGCAAAGCTCGGTCATCATCTAGTATTAATAAAACTAGAAGATAAAATAAACTCCAGAAGCATTGTTTCAGTGATATAGAATTTCAACAAATTTATAAGCAAAGTTTTAATTGTTTCTTCAAGTAAAGGTTTTTATTATAATAAGTGGCTGTGTTTTAATTTAATTAGAGATGAAACAGCAAATCTAATCAATTCCCTAATTTAACTAATAGGCACAATAAGTCAGTGGAACAGTGGTATGAACAGTGGTATTAAATCTTGCACAATTATAGCTATATGTTACTTGACAATTTTGTGTACTAATTTGCAAATCCTAATTACCACAAATACTAATACCAATTTGTAGTATTTGTGGCTTCTTATAAAGAAATTCAAATTTATTTCCACTTTCACTTATCTTCCAAATATAAACTGACCCTTTTGGAAAATGGGAATTTTTTATTCACTAAATCAGTTTGATTTTCCTGTTTCAATAAAGTAATGAAAATGATTGTTTACTCAATAATGTTTGTATTGATGCAGATGAGTCAGATAGTGAACTAGAAGTGAAACCTAAAAAGGGAAAGAAAAAAGATGAAAAGAAAAGTGTCTTTTCTTTATTAGAAATAGAGGATGACGTCTCCCCACCTGAAGCACCTATGTCGTCTGAAGATGAAAAACCGGTCCAGAAGAAAGCTGCACCAGAAAAGAAAGAAACCACCGGAAAAAAAGGCAAGAAAGCCAAAAGAAAGAAGGATGATAGTGATGATGATATTGAAAAAGTCCTTGCTGAATTAGAAATGGAATATGCTGGTGTTAAAAAGGAACCTACTCCTGCTCCAGAATCTGCCCCAAAACCTCAAGAACCTGTTGAAGAAAAACTTAAAACAAAAAAGAAAGGTAAAAAGGATGAACCCAAAGAAGAAATTGTAGAGGTAAAGGAGGCTGATGATAATAAAAACGATAGTGAAAATGAAATTGATGTTAAAGTTAAAACAGCTGCTCAAAAGAAAAAGGAAAAAAAAGAAAGAGAAAAGTTGAAGAAACAAGAAGCCAAAAAGAAAGAAAAAGATCATGAAGACCGAAAAGAAGTTGGTGAAGGAAAACAAAAGGCAACTGAAAAAATAGAACCTAAGCCCATTGAAGAACCTAAAGAAGAACTTATACCTCCTTCAGAAGATAAAGAGGAAGGTGATACTCCTGCCGCTGAAGGAAAGAAAAAGAAAAAAGGTGAAAAAGAGAAAGAAGATAAGGGCAAGAAGGGGCCAACAAAAAAAACTATTGCTGCTATGCAAGAAGCATTGAAGAAAGTTAAAGAAGAAGAGGAACGTTTACAAAAAGAGGAAGAAGAAAGATTAAAGCAGGAGGAAGAGCGTGAGCAGCAGAGGTTAGAAGCTATTCGATTAGAGAAAGAGAAGAAAGAAAGAAAAAAGCAAAAGGAGAAGGAGAGAAAAGAAAGACTTAAAGCTGAGGGTAAACTACTTACTCCTAAACAAAAGGCTGAGAAAGCTAGAGCTCAAGCTTTGTTAGAATCATTAAAAGCTCGTGGTGTTGAAATCGGATCAACTGAAAAGAAACCACCTAGACCTGGAACAAGGGTTAAACCTGGAAAACTTAAAAGTCAAATGTCGCAAGATGCCCCACTGACTCCCATGGAAGAGAAAAAAGTTGAACTTGAGATTGTTGATGCTAAGGTAAATTTTAATTAAAACATTTCATTTCGATTTTCTTAACTCAAATAATACTATGCAAATTTAATTTTTTGGAAAACCGAGATGAGCTTTATTCAAAGAAAATTGAATTTTAATTACACACATATATNACTTAAAAGTCAAATGTCGCAAGATGCCCCACTGACTCCCATGGAAGAGAAAAAAGTTGAACTTGAGATTGTTGATGCTAAGGTAAATTTTAATTAAAACATTTCATTTCGATTTTCTTAACTCAAATAATACTATGCAAATTTAATTTTTTGGAAAACCGAGATGAGCTTTATTCAAAGAAAATTGAATTTTAATTACACACATATATATGTACATATATACTACTCAAATTTCAGTAAAACACATTAAACAAAGACATTGAAAGTCATACCAAGAAAAAAAAAAACCTACTAAGTAACCTAATTAAAATTTCTTATACAGCAGGAAGAACTCCAAAAAGTTGATTCAGAAAAAAAAGAGTCAGAAGTAGATTTAGTGAAAGATTCTTGGGATGCTGAATCTTCTGAAGATGAGACAGAGCCCGAAACAAAACAAGAATCTGTGACTCCAGTCAATGCAAAGAAGCCAGGCACGCCCGAACCTAAATCGGTTAGATTTTTTATTTTTATTTTTTATTGCTTAGATGGATGGACGAGCTTTCAGCCCACCTGGTGTTAAGTGGTTACTGGAGCCCATAGACATCTACAGCGTAAATGCGCCACCCACCTCGAGATATAAGTTCTAAGATCTCAGTATAGTTACAACGGCTATCCCACCCTTCGAACCGAAACGCATTACTGCTTCACGGCGGAAATAGGCGGGGTGGTGGTACCTACCCGTGCGGACTCCCAAGAGGTCCTACCACCAGTAAATTTATAGAATAGTATAGTTATAAACGGTTCCTCCGATCTTATATAGAGCACCAGAAGTATCAGAGCATAACAGATAAGATGTCCAGTGTACTCATATCGAGTAACGCAATTATATCGGTATTCAAATCCCATGGGCATGTTCCAATTTTTCTAATGAAATATGTTTGTACCTCATGTCCATCAATAACTTAATAATATGGTACCAAGGTACCAGGTACCAGGTACTTAAATAACATTGTTTTATAAAAATTTGTACTACACAAATATTAATCTGCATAATTACAAAACAAATCACACATGTTATGATGTCTGTAAGCTCTGGTGACCATTTGGTGGATACTGAGTTCATTCACCCATCTAAGCAATTAAACTATAATACTATCAAAATTATAAATATAATTTGTGAAATATAATCTCAAAGAAATCTCAAACTTCTTTACAGAAGGATGATGATGAAGAGGAAAGTTCTAAAGATGAAGATGAAAGTTCAGACGAAGAGACCAGCTCCGATGAAGATGATGAAGACACAAAGAGGACCGATGCAGAAAAGAAAAGAGAAATAGTATTAAAGAGATTAGAGGTGGGTTTTTTATTACTTGTGAGGATCTGAAGTTGATTTTTTTTGTACAATTCGTAAATTGAAATACTCCATTTAGCTTAATGCAAATATTTTGATCCAGGGTTCTCTAACTGTAGATAGTTATAGATTTGTAGAAACATGCGAGAATAGTAGATCTCACAAAACTCGACAGCAGAAGAATAAATTCGACTTTTTTTGGGATTTATAAATTACATTCAATCAATTATTGTAAGAAACCTTACACAAATACACTAGAACTGATTATAAATTAAATTTAAGATTTACGATTTGGAAATCCGACATCAATAGTATGTAGCCTTCGACTCGTCATTTTAAATTATATAGGTCGTATATCACAATAAACTTTAAATTGTTTTCAACATCATTTTCATTTTTTTTAATCAATCTAATCCTAGGACTGTCTATCTGCCAACTGTATAACGTGTTAAACTTTGATAAACAATACTAGCGGACCCGACATACGTTGTCCTGCAAAAATTCATTCAAGTCGAGCGGTTTTTTTTTACTGCTTTGATGGGTGGACGAGCTCACAGCCCACCTGGTGTTAAGTGGTTACTGGAGCCTATAGACATCTACAATGTAAATGCGCCACCCACCTAGTCCCACCCATCGTTTAGTTGTAGTATAGATAAATAACCTAGATACCGACTGCAGCGCCACCTGCCGGGCTGATTTGTGAATCTAAACCATCAAGGGTGCCACCCGAACGCATAAAAAAATCATTCAAATCGGTCCAGCTGTTTAGGAGGAGTTCAGTGACAAACACACGCACAGAAGAAATATCTATATATTAATACGTGAAGCAAAAACTTTGTATCCCTTTTTACGAAAATTGCGCGGACGGAGGAGTATGAAATTTTCCACACTTAAAGAGAATATAGAGAAGGAGTGCACAATGCTAATATTTTTTTTAAATAATGCATAAAAGATACCGTAAACAATAAAGAAAAAATTACACACACTACATACCATGTATTTGACGAACACACGCATGCATACTATTTATTGTCAAACTTTTGTTCTTGACGTCTGTTGTCAAATTGAGAATAGATTAAATATTGTTTGTCTTTGTTAATATTTTTTATAGTGTAGTCTTGGCAAAAGTTGTGATTGTAGAAGTTTAAAATACAATCTTAATAGTGTACAAACCTACAATTCCAATTAATTATAGTCGAATTTCGACTACTGCGGGACCTCTAGTATATATAAAGATTTGGTAACCATTTGTTCTAACAGAAACGTCGTCAAGATAACGAAGCAAACAGAGTCAACAATCCATTACGTGCGGCCGTCGTATGTGTCCTCGGTCACGTAGATACAGGAAAAACCAAGATTTTGGACAAACTTCGAAGGACTAACGTACAAGACGGCGAGGCTGGTGGCATCACTCAACAGATTGGTGCAACTAATGTTCCCATTGAGAATATCAAGGAACAAACAAAACACGTCAAAGGGGTAAGACGATTTTTACAATTGTTTTTTAAGTTATATCATAAATTTTGGTTTATTTATGTAATTTTTTTTTTATATTGTACTAGTGAAATTCGCTTACGCTCCGGACTGCTCTCCAAATGTATGAAATACACACATTTGATGAACTGCACATGCGCCACCTATCGTACATAAACCGTCTATAATTTTTTCTTACAATTAGTGAATTAGGTACTTAGAAATCCACATATTATAAACACAATATGCAAAAAAAAAAACTAGGTATTTTCATTAACAAAAAAGTATAGTAATGTTTATCATTGAAAAAAAGGTAATTTTCTTTTTTTGGTGTTGGGATGGTTGGACGAGCTTACAACCCACCTGGTGTTAAGTGATCACCGGAGCCCATAGACATTAACTATTACATAAAATGCCGCCACCCACCTTGAGGCATAAGTTTTATGTCTTAGCTTTTTACAGTATAGCTTTCTTCAAACCGAAATGCATTACTGCTTCACAGCAAAACTAATTTACTTTATTTACTAAGCTGATATCTCTTTTTTGCAGTAATATTTTTGTGTTATTTCAGGTAAGTGAAATAGCTTTCAAGTTGCCTGGACTACTCATCATCGACACACCAGGCCACGAGTCCTTCAGTAATTTAAGAAGCAGAGGATCATCACTCTGTGATATTGCTATCCTTGTAAGTATGAATTTTGATATAATTTGTACAAAATATTGGCATTTCATTTATTCTGACATGTTAGAGAAATTTACTGTAGTTGAATAATGTTGATCCTTAGTATTAATAATAGTAGAGTCTATAATCAAGTCAAAAACTTATCAAAATTTTTGAGATTTTTTTCTATACTTATTAACTATTTATATTAGTTTTTTTTTTGTATGAAAACTAAAATATTCTTTTCAATCCTCAGGTAGTTGACATAATGCACGGATTGGAACAGCAAACTATTGAGTCTATCAATTTACTGAAACAGAAGAAGACACCGTTCCTGGTGGCCCTGAATAAGATAGATCGTTTGTACGATTGGCAGAGTGCTCAACGTAAAGATATAAGGGATATATTGAAACTGCAGCAGCCAAATACTCAGCTGGAATTTGAAAAACGCAGTAAAGATGTAATGTTGCAATTCGCTGAACAGGTAAGTTGATAATAGAACTAGACACTGTAAAATAATCTTTCATTTGCAGTAATTTCAGAGCTTATCTGAAATCATACGTTGTACAGTATGGAAGGAATAGGAAAATCTTCCGGAATTCAAACGGTAACAAATATAACATTTCCGTTGAGTTAAGTTGGATTAGTCAGTAAATTTTTAGCAGTACCTAACTCAGCCCGACTAAACAACGGGCTGGTAATATGACGAAATGAAGTCTAAGTACTTCGGTTGTAACTCCGAGGTTTTGGAACGAAGTTCCTTATCACGCGTTGTGAAAGGGGGCTAGACGGAAAAAATTCTTACGAAAAGTTGTCACGACACTTTTTGCTATAAATTCTTACAAAAAGTTGTCACGACACTTTTTGCTATAAATTCTTACGAAAAGTTGTCACGACACTTTTTAGATCCGTCATTCTGACCAATCAACGTATAGGCGCTTATCGCGTGACATTGCTCGTATCCGATTGGTCTGCGTAATGAGTACTTACAGTTTCTCGAGATAGCGTTTCAACAATAGTAATTTAGTTCATAGTATTGTTTTTTTTTTCTTCATAATGCCGTAATTTATTATTATAACTTAAAAAAAAAATTACAATTCCTTCACTAATTAATCGAAAGGAACTTCGTTCCATCCGGGTGTCCTTTCACACCTCTGAAGTTTATTTATTTATTTTTTATTGCATATGTAGGCAGATGAGCATACCTGATGGTAAGTGGTTACCGCCGCTGATGGACGTCAGCAACGACAAAGGGAAAAGCCAAGCCGCTACCATAAACACATTATGTCACTTCACACCCGATCACAATGCATGTTACTTGTAATATTATCAATATACTGGGTGTTAGGAGACCGCTTCCGAAAACGAATACAGACGATAGTATTAATGACACCTTTGATGATGGGACGGAAAAAAATCGATCTTGACTTGAAAAAAATTATATTCTTAAAACGTTTTATTAGCATTATTTACGCTCCATCATGTTAGTACGGCTAAATGAAACGATATTTTCATATAAAATGCGTTATTAGTAATGCTTATAGTAATGCATATAAAATGCATTATTAGTAATGCTTAGTAATTATTTTCTAAAAAAGCCAGCAATGAAACACAAAATCAAAAACAGCTGATGCTCGGATCAACGAACGCCCGAGCGCGGCGCGGCGCAGACTCGCGCGATCGCACTAACACTTATTTACAACATTTGTCTAAATAGCTCCATCTTCAAAGGTGTCATTAGTACTATCATCTTTTATCTCTTTTCAGTATACAATACATTGATAATGTTACAAGAAGTATACAGTTCAATATTTACTTGTTTTGTTGTGTTGAGTAAATAATATAATAGACAATAATATAATCATGGTTTTTTTTTATTTTTATTGCTTAGATGGGTGGACGAGCTCACAGCCCACCCGGTGTTAAGTGGTTACTGGAGCCCATAGAAAGTATGTATAGTACTTATATGGAAGCTACAGTATCATCAATGATAATAGATGGCGTGCAAATCGCTTTAACTGACAAATGTATTATAAATCAAAATTATAATACATACGAGTAATACGCGTCACCTATTTCTAATTTACAATTTAAATTTTGTAGTTATTATGAAACATATTTTTGCAGGGCTTAAACGCAGCTCTGTTCTACGATAACCCGGATCCGCGTACGTACGTGTCTCTGGTGCCGACATCGGCTGTGACCGGCGAAGGTATGGGCAACCTGTTGGCGATGATCATCCAGGCTTGCGAGGGACCACTGCACAAGCGACTCATCTTCTCGCAGCAGCTGCTCGCAACTGTACTCGAGGTAAGGAGCTTTTAAATTGATTTATGTGTATAAATAAATATGTGTATGTATCTATCTATCATTGGGTTCAATTTGATTTTATTTATGACTGAAATAGATATATACAGTGTGTTGTTAGCTTCGGAATAAAAAAACAAAAAAATTCGTTACATTATAATCATTTTTTCTTACACTATTTTTAATTCAAATTTATTAAAATTTATTTTCTATTTTTTAGTTGGATTTTCTATAAAAGCGTATTTTGTTAGTTTTTTAAACTATTATTTATTGGTCATTTTTTAGGTGAATTTCAAATTTTTCAATATTTTTTTCGCATTTTTTTTTTAAAATTGAATTGTCGTCGGTCCTTATAAATTTCAAGTTAATCTGACGTTTTGAAAGGGGTCAAAATCATGTTCAAAGATTCCGTTACAAACATACATACGTCTGAAGAAAATAAAAGCGTATTAAAAAATTAAAAAATGTGTCCAGGTGAAAGCGATCCCCGGCTTGGGAACAACCATAGACGCGATCCTTATTAACGGTACTCTGCACGAGGGCGACACGATGGTACTAGCCGGCACCGACGGACCCATCGTCACACAGATCCGGTCCCTCCTCATGCCGCAACCCATGAAGGAGCTGCGAGTTAAGGTATGTCTACACTCTTCTTTGCTCTGTACTCCTTACGAATCGATTTGATTTAGAGCTCGGGGACGTTACGATAATTGTATCGAAAGGCAGTGAAATCGATTATAAATAATGTCTTAAATCTTTGTCGCTTTACTTTTAGATATCAAAGTGTATTCTATACTCAATCAGACTTGGTTTGAAACAAGGATTTGTGTGTGTGTTTCGTGTGTGGGTGGGTGTGTGTATGTGTGTGTTGTGTGTCGTGTGTGTGCCATCATCGATTTTAACGTAGTCATTACCACTGTCAGAGGTTAAAATTGTTAAAATCTTAATGTCGATTTATCTGATAACGATCTGTTTTTTTTGCGGGGTGCCTTTTTGAATTCCAACGTCATGTATTAAAATTAAATATGTAAAATGTTTGAGTGAAATGGGGGCTTCAAAAAGGGGCCAGCTGTGAGTAGCAAATTACAACTCCAAAAATTCGCTCAAAATAGCACTAGCGTAGCATGTTTTTTTTTTATTTTTACATTTTCCTAGATAGGTTCACAGTCCATCTGGTGCTAAGTAGTTATTGGAGTCCATAGACATCTACAACGTAAATGTACCGCCCACCTTGAGATATAAGTTCTAAGGTCTCAGTACGGTAACGGCTGCCCCACCCTTCAAACCGAAACGCATTACTGTTTCTCGGCAGGGTTAGGCAGGGTGGCAGTCGGCACTCGGCAGTTAGGCAAGCCACTTGCCCAGTGGTACCACCAGTGGATAAGCGGCCTGATAGCAGTTGCATAGGGAGGTGTGCCGATTTACAAAATTTTACCGATTAACATTTGGCGTTACCATTGAAAAATACACCGCTCGTTACGGTGGTACCCCCCTAATTGGTCGCTTTTAGTCAAACACTTTTTTCGAACACAGAGAATGTGCTCCTTACCAATCAATCCTCCATAATCAATAATATAGACTTGACCTATCTAGATAATAGAATTGAGAAACGTATTTATGAATACAGAACGCATACATCGAGCACAAAGAAGTCGTAGGAGCACAGGGTGTTAAGATCGCAGCGAAGGAACTCGAAAAGGCTATCGCTGGACTGAACTTGCTTGTCGCTCAGAAACCGGACGAAGTTGATGTTCTGAAGTAAGTTTTAACTGATACTTTTATTGCGTAGACAGGTGAACGACTCACCTGGCGGCCCTTTTAAATGCATTACTGTTGCGAAATTCTGCATAGCAGCAATGGACAGGGTGGTGGTACCTACCCGCGCGAGTTCACAAAAGTCCTATCCCTCGTCATCATCATTCTCCTGACCTTCTCCCAACATGTTTTCTCCTTCCATACTCCTCCATCATATACCATTTCTTCGCTCACTCCCCACTTACACATATCGTATTTCACGCAATACATCTATTTCTTCTTAGGTCTACCTCTTTCTCTATACCCTTCCACACTCTTAGTTAACACTCTAAGTAATGCCTGCCCTGCCTCTAGTAATGACGCAAATTATAGTTTTTTTGAACCCCTTTTTTTAGTACTCGCTGTTATTCATTAATCATAGAAGTTATTTGTAAGTTTGAGTTTAGTATATATCGCATTAAAAAAATGCTTCTGCCTGCAAGATTCGATCAGTTCAGCAGGCGTCTTATCCTTTAGGCCACTATAATATCTATCGTCGATTCGTATGGAATCGATTTTGTATAAAATACCTTACTTTTAAGTCCGGCATCAGAATAATTTAATTACGTAATTAGAAACACAGACGCTAAACGAAGGAATAAAATGGAATTTATTTAATATAGATTTAATGAAACGGTATCACGTTTACAAAGTATCAGGTTTTTTCTTGGACGATGAACAAAACCCTCGAGTGATTATGTTGTTTCTATCTAGACAAATATAGCATCTATTGATTCTTATTATTTATTGGTTCATGCTAATCCTTGATTTACATTATGTGCAGTGTTCCGTCTCCCTTTTTATATAATTGAAGACATGAGTGGATGAAGGGGTTAAGTACCATTTTTAAGATTTTTGAGTTTTTACATTGAATGAAGGTGTTTTTTTTATTGCTTAGATGGATGTACAAGCACCTGGTGCTGAGCCCACCTGGTGTTAAGTGGTTACTGGAGCCCATAGACATCTACAACGTAAATGCGCCACCCACCTTGAGGCATATTAAGTTCTAAGGTCTCAAGTATAGTTACAACGGCTGCCCCGCCCTTCAAACCGAAACGCATTACTGCTTCACCGCAGAAATAGCCAGAACGGTGGTACCTACTTACCCGTGCGGACTCACAAGAGGTCCTACCACCAGTAATTACGTAAATTATAATTTTGCGGGTTTGATTTTTATTACGAAGTATGTGCTTGTAAACCATATTAGACCTTAAATTTCTGGGTTTAAAGGCTATTTTTAGAAACAGCATGTGTTGAAGGAGTTACGTACGAAGAAAAAGTAGAAGTAACAAAAGTTAGTTGGCTGTTTTCTCAAAATTAACAAATTGTATCATATCCCCTTCATCCACTCATGTCTTCAATTCACGCTCAACAAAATATCCTCGGACGATGTTGTCGAATTTAAATCAATTTAAATTCAATGTATAATATTTTCGGAGTTCAAAAACCCTGAATTCTAAATTATTTCGGCGAATCGCTATGTTTTTCATTGTAGAAATAGTATTTTTTTTGTATTGCTTAGATGGGTGGACGACCTCACAGCTTGCCTGGTGTTAAAAGGTTACTGGAGCCCATAGACAACGTAAATGCGCCACCCACCTTGAGATATAAGTTCTAAGGTCTCAAGTATAGTTACAACGGCTGCTCCACCCTTCAAACCGAAACGCATTACTACTTCACGGCAGATATAGGCAGGGTAGAGGTACTTATCCGCGCGGACTCACAAGAGATCCTACCACCAGTAATTACGCAAATTATAATTACGCGGGTTTGATTTTTATTACACGATGTTATTCTTTCATCGTGGAAGTCAATCGTGGGATTCGAACACCGGTGCATCGCTCAATACGAATGCACCGGACGTCTTATCCTTTAGCCCACGACGACTTCTTTAAAATTTGGTATTCATATTTAATTCAGGGAGGAGGTGGCTAAAGAATTGAAATCAGCCCTGTCGTCTATAAAACTATCCGAACGAGGTGTCTACGTCCAAGCTTCGACTCTGGGTTCGCTTGAAGCTCTTCTGGAGTTCCTCAAAGCTAGCAAAATTCCGGTAAGTAATTTAATTTTTATTGCCTTCACGAGTCTACTGCATTAGAGGAGATGTGGCTTTGACCCAAAATCAATATCACGAATTCCTTTTTCATTAGGTTTTTTTTAATTACAATTATATTTATTTATTTATTTATGTACACACAAAAAAGAAGACAGTACAGAGTAATAGGAAAACTGGTCACGCGCGGATTAGTAATGGGATGCTAATGAATTATTGGGATGGCGCCACCTTTGGAGTTTGTTAGTTACTAATTACCGCGACTATCCAAAGCGTGGTTCTACCCGATCGATCACGCTTTACCGCTAGCTGCCTAGATGGCGGCACTTGTATATTGTGTGGTGCTTGGGCTTACGAAAAGCTACGTGAGCTTCGTCACCCNATACGATAACATTTAGCATGCTAGAAATGGGCTGATGGCTTTGAACTACGCCATATCTTTATGTTTTGCGACAAACGACAACTTTATAAAATCAGTGTAGCAACTTTTAAAAATCATCATATCGTTTACTTGGCAAATTCGAAGGACGAACTTGTCTTAGATTTCACCCATCTAAATCATATCATATTTGCACATAACAATACACCTACTTACTTCCCATTAAAGTATAAATTCTACAAATAAATAATACTCAACAATATTTAAAATAAAATGAGCCAAGATCGTTTATCGATAAAACCTGATAACATTGAAATCTTTTGTACAGCACTAAAGCCGCCATGTTTTGTGGCCAGATGACGTCACAGTGGCACGAAATTTTTGTTGACGTTTCATTTCCATAGGTTTCCTACTTCATTGGAAAGGAGAAAGTGTTGAAAAAACTGCGGAGAAAAATACCCACCAATCCCACCAAAATAACGCTAACGTACCAAGCGGTTTGATATAAATGTAGCAGTTGCAAAAATAGAGAAGTGTGCATTGTTAAAAAAATTAACCGAATATTTTTGTTAATTAATTGTAAATTGATTAGATTGTATTCTTCTACCCACTCATTTAAAGCTTTCCTTCGTTAAGAACGGTTACCTGGTAGAAAACTCAATTGTTGAGTTAAGCTCGCCATTTTTTATATCTTACGCAATTACTGTAATATTAACTCTGTGTACAATAAAGAATAAATTAAATTAAATTAAAGAATAAATTAAATTTTTTAGCACCATCTTTGAAAATACACCACTCGTTACGGTAACGCCACCCTAATTGGTCGATTTTAGTCAAATACTTTTTTCGAACACAGAGTAGGTATGTTCTCCTTACCTACCTACCATACCAATACCTAGCCTCTACTAAATCGGATAATCTTTACACGAAGCAAACACTTTGCACCAATTTTTACGAAAATGCGTGGACGGAGGAGTATGAAATTTGCCAAACTTATAGAGAATATATAGAGGGAGTGCAGAATGTTAATATCTTTTTAACTATGCGTGAAAAATACATTAAATCAATAAATAAATAAATATTACACACACTACCATGTATTTGATACAACACCTAAATATACTCTTTGTTTATTGTCAAACTTTTGTTATTGTTTAAAGTCTGTGGTTAAATTCAGAATAGATTAATATTATTTGTCTATAGTGTAGTCTTGGCGATATCTGTGATAATAGGAGTACAATAATAATCTTTCACAATAGAACCATAATAATTTTCAAACTTATAACTTCAATTAATTATAATCGAATCTTGACTACTTAGGTACTAAACTTTTTATTTATTTATTAGATGGGTGGATGAGGTCACGGCCCTCCTGGTGTTATATAGTTACCGGAGCCCATAGACATCTACAACGTAAATGCGCCACCCACCTTGAGATATAAGTTCTAAAGTCTCAAGTATAGTTACAACGGTTACCCCACCCTTCAAACCGAAACGCATTACTGCTTCGCACCAGAAATAGGCAGGGTGGTGGTACCTACCCGCGCGGACTCACAAAAGGCCCTACCACCGGTAATATAAATAAGTATTTATGAATACAGAACGCATACATCGAGCACAAAGAAGTCGTAGGAGCACAGGGTGTTAAGATCGCAGCGAAGGAACTCGAAAAGGCTATCGCTGGACTGAACTTGCTCGTCGCTCAGAAACCGGATGAAGTTGATGTTTTAAAGTAAGTTTTAACTGATACTTTTATTGCGTAGACAGGTGAACGACTCACCTGGCGGCCCTTTTAAATGCATTACTGTTGCGAAATTCTGCATAGCAGCAATGGACAGGGTGGTGGTACCTACCCGCGCGAGTTCACAAAACGCCCTCCCCCTCGTCATCATCATTCTCCTGACCTTCTCCCAACATGTTTTCTCCTTCCATACTCCTCTATCATATACCATTTCTTCGCTCACTCCCCACTTACACATATCGTATTTCACGCAATACATCTATTTCTTCTTAGGTCTACCTCTTACTCTATACCCTTCCACACTCTTAGTTAACACTCTAAGTAATACCCTGCCTCTAGTAATGACGCAAATTATAGTTTTTTTGAACCACTTTTTTTAGTACTCGCTGTTATTCATTAATCATAGAAGTTATTTGTAAGTTTGAGTTTAGTATATATCTCATTAAAAAAATGCTTCTGCCTGCAAGATTCGATCAGTTCAGCATGCGTCTTATCCTTTAGGCCACGATCATATCTATCGTCGATTCGTATGGAATCGATTTTGTATAAAATACCTTACTTTTCAGTCCGTCATCAGAATAATTTAATTACGTAATTAGATACACAGACGCTAAACGAAGGAATAAACTGGAATTTATTTAATATAGATTTAATCGAGTGATTATGTTGTTTTTATCTAGACAAATATAGCATCTATTGATTCTTATTATTTATTGGTTCATGCTAATCCTTGATTTACATTATGTGCAGTGTTCCGTCTCCCTTTTTATAGCGTATAGTTGAAGACATGAGTGGATGAAGGCGTTAAGTACCATTTTTAAGATTTTTTAGTTTTTACATTGAATAAAGGTGTTATTTTCATTTATTGCTTAGATGGATGTACGAGCACCTGGTGCTGAGCCCACCTGGTGTTAAGTAGTTACTGGAGCCCATAGACATCTACAACGTAAATGCGCCACCCACCTTGAGGCATATTAAGTTCTAAGGTCTCAAGTATACTTACAACGGCTGCCCCGCCCTTCAAACCGAAACGCATTACTGCTTCACGGCAGAAATAGGCAGGATGGTGGTACCTACCCATGCGGACTCACAAGCGGTCCTACCACAAGTAATTACGCAAATCATAATTTTGCGGGTTTGATTTTTATTACGAAGTATGTGCTTGTAAACCATATTAGACCATAAATCTCTGGTTTAAAGGCTATTTTTAGAAACAGCATGTGTTGAAGGAGTTACGTACGAAGAAAAAGTACAAGTAACCAAAGTTTGTTGCCCGTTTTCTCAAAATTAACAAATTGTATCATATCCCCTTCATCCACTCATGTCTTCAATTCGCGCTCAAAAAAATATCCTCGGATGATGTTGTCGAATTTAAATCAATTTAAATTCAATGTATAATATTTTCGGAGTTCAAAAACCCTGAATTCTAAATTATTTCGGCGAATATTTTTCACTGTAGAAATAGTAGTTTTTTTTTGTTGCTTAGATGGGTGGACGAGCTCACAGCCTGCCTGGTGTTAAATGGTTACTGGAGCCCATAGACAACGTAAATGCGCCACCCGCCTTGAGATATAAGTTCTAAGGTCTCAAGTATAGTTACAACGGCTGCCCCACCCTTCAAACCGAAACGCATTACTGCTTCACGGCAGAGATAGGCAGGGTGGTGGTACTTATCCGCGCGGACTCACAAGAGATCCTACCACCAGTAATTACGCAAATTATAATTACGCGGGTTTGATTTTTATTACACGATGTTATTCTTTCATCGTGGAAGTCAATCGTGAGGTTCGAACACCGGTGCATCGCTCAATACGAATGCACCGGACGCCTTATCCTTTAGGTCACGACGACTTCGTTAAAATTTGGTATTCATATTTAATTCAGGGAGGAGGTGGCTAAAGAATTGAAATCAGCCCTGTCGTCTATAAAACTATCCGAACGAGGTGTCTACGTCCAAGCTTCGACTCTGGGTTCGCTTGAAGCTCTTCTGGAGTTCCTCAAAGCTAGCAAAATTCCGGTAAGTAATTTAATTTTTATTGCCTTCACGAGTCTACTGCATTAGAGGAGATGTGGATTTGACCCAAAATCAATATCACGAATTTCTTTTTCATTACATTTTTTTTAACTACAATTATTTTTTTATTTATGTACACACAAAAAAGAAGACATAGTACAGAGTAATAGGAAAACTATGTACAAAGGCACTGCTTATTTCTTAAAGAAATCTCTTCCAGCAGACCTGCGAGAGGATTATGAGAATAATAATTAAAAGTGATGAGTTTAATTTTTTAATTGATGACTTTAATTTTGGATGTAGAAATTGCAATAAATTTTCCAATTATTATTAAATTATTTAAATTAGTAAATATATTAACTTGAATTAAAACAAGATTTATGATGACAGAAAACGTTTATTTTTTCCATGTAGTAATGTAATTTATGATAATAACTGGGAACTGATCAGGCATGGTCATCCGGCCTCAATTAAGAATTCTCCGTGTTATGAGTAACAGGGATTGATAAACATACTTATATACGTTTAAATATATACATACATATATAGATATCAAACACCCACACATAGAGCAATAATATCTGTTCATCACACAATGTTTTCCCGATGTGGGAATCGAACCCGCGACCCTCAGCACAGCAGTCCGAGGCGATAACTATTGCACTACCGAGACAGTCATATTACAATTTGATTAATAATTAGACTACTCCTCTTTTTTTTTCAGTACTCAGCCATTAGGATAGGACCGGTAGTAAAGCGTGACGTCATGAAGGCTTCCGCCATGTTGGAACATGACTCTCAATACGCGACTATACTGGCTTTTGACGTCAAGGTGAGGTCTTTCATTCATTTATTCTCATACTCATATTGACATTGAAACGGTTTACGACACTAAACACTTTTTCCTAAATGTTTATAATACTTAGTGATACTGGTTTGGTTGATTTATCCTAATGACGGAACTGGTGAATGAAATGCACGAAAATTGTAAATGGTATTCATATGAAATTTTCGAGAATAATAAATTCATATATTTTGTATACTAGTGGGTCCGATAGACGGTATCCTGTACGCACGTTTTAAATTTAAAACTTTTTTGAATAAATTGTAATAATCTGTTTGGATAAATTAAAAAATATATTTAAATATTCAATTGTGAATTTAAACCATTTTCGAACCCACTGGAACATACACATTTTTGCCACGTACCAACCGGCTTTGGAATGAGCTCCCCTACACGGTGATTCCCGAGCGCTATGGCATGTCCTTCTTCAAAAGAGGCTTGTGGAGAGTATTAAACGGTAGTCAACGGCCTGGTTCTGCTCCTGGCATTGCTGACGTCCATGAGCGACGGTAATCGCTCTCCATCAGGTAGGCCGTATGCTCGTCTGCCTACAAGGGCAATAGAAATCATCAAAATCGGTCCAGCCGCTTAGGAGAGAAGTTTACTAACATACACTCATAGAAGAATATTTTTTTCACGCTACGATTTTTAATCTCCTACTATAGTCGTATTTTTAATTAGACGAACCCAACTGACAGTAGCTAATGTCACTTTGTAAAATAATGTTGCCATATTTAAAGTAATATTGATGCGTTCACTTCTCGTTCAATCAAATGAATGAACAATGAGTGTGAATAGTTAAACATTTCAAACTATAAAAGAATATTATTTCTATTTTATAATAAAATTTTATTAAAAGGCTTCGATACTACTAGTATACATACTACTAGTAACTTATATCTTACTATAATCAGTTTTTTTTTATTTTCATTACCTACCTATAATTGTTATATTTTATACATCTATAGTTTCAACTACATGATTTATTGAAAATAGGACAGTCTTACAAGTTTTCTCGCAATGTTTTCCTTAATGTTTAAATACTCGGTATTCAGTATAGGTAGATACTATAGGAACATAATCGTCGAAAACTCGTTGGTATGTACAAAGCACGACTAAAATTCGAACCCCGTACTCGATATCGGCAGTTCGGCACACTAATTAATTACTAGACAATCGAGGTAATTTCTTTCATTCAGGAGTTTTTTCAATCATTCACTTTGTCACAACACTATTTTTATTTCATCAAAAACTGACAACACAGTAAACGTAAGTTGACTTCGTCTAATAAAAAATACGACTATAATATTACTTTGTTGAACAGATCGAACGCGACGCCCAAGAGCTAGCCGACCAGCTCGGCGTGAAGATATTCGCGGCCGACATCATTTATCACTTGTTCGACAAGTTCACGGCGTACCGGGAGGAACTCAAGCAAAAGAAACGAGAGGAGTTCAAACATATCGCGGTGTTTCCTTGCAAACTCAAGGTGTGATAAATGTTTTCATTATTTTCCGATCGAAAATAAACAGTAAGCGCGCGAGTTCATGTCCATTCTAAGGAATGCGGTAGTGCTGTGATCTAGTTAATTATGGTAATGTCGATAATAACCACCGATTTAGTCAACAGCCGTCAATTTGGTTTAATGTAACTTAAGGTAATTTTGCAAATTTAGAAATAAAATAAATGCGATAAATAATAACTTATTTATTTCTAAAAAAGGAAAAAATATTCTATTCCAATTTAATCAGTTATCAGATGAAAAGACTACCGACAGATCAGAGTAGTATAGTATATTTTTTTAGTAAGTTTTTTTCTACCTGAACTTGTTGGAAGCAGAGTAGTCATGGTTTATTCACAATAAAATAACACAATAGCGTTAGCGTAAATTTTCGATATCGATAAGCGCGCGTCACAACCGTCAAGGACAACACTCGACGTCAGACAAATGCGGGGAGGCGGGTGAAGGCGGGGCGAGCTGTCCCCCGCGCGTCTCCTCTCTGGCCCCGATGGACATGAACTCGCGCGCATACTGTATCTTACTGTTTTTTTCTTGGCTTTGTCCCACACTGTGAGGTCGGTGCAGCATACTTTCTGATCACATTACATATCGTCGTTGTGGCGTAAAGGATAAGACGTCCGGTGCATTCGTATCTAACGACGCGACTGTGACGGAGTTCGAATCCCGCAGGCGGGTACCAATTTTTGTAATGAAATACTTACTTAATAAATGTTCACGATTGACTTCCACGGTGAAGGAATAACATCGTGTAGTAAAAATTTAACCCGCAAAATTATAATTTGCGTAATTACTGGTGATAGGAACTCTTGTGAGTCCGCACGGGTAGGTACCACCGCCCTGCCTACTTCTGCCGTGAAGCAGTAATGCGTTTCGGATTGAATGGTGGGTCAGCCGTTGTAACTATGCTGGATTTGGTAACTATACTGGACTGGAAAAACTTGGATTTGATATGAGTGTTCATATACACGTTACAGTTGCGGTACGCAATGTATAACGTTTGCTTCGCCGATAAATATCTTTTGTTTTCTATGATTCTCTTCAATATTTTTATTTTGTTAAATGTATTTGTTGTTTTTGTAGATCCTGCCGCAGTTCGTTTTCAATTCCCGTGACCCCATCGTTGCCGGCATCATGGTCGAGGCTGGCGTAGTCAAAGAGGGAACCCCTATTTGCGTTCCCAGTAAAGAGGTAAGCTTATTACTCATTCATTCCTTCATTCATTCATTCATTCGGGGCACGGCCCGTCTAGTCCAACCGTTGATCGTTTACATTTCTTTTAGTTCAATCGAAAAAGTACCTTAATGCTTGTTACATTAGAATAACAATTTGATCGCAGTTCGTGGAGTTGGGCATCGTTACGTCGATAGAGGTGAACCACAAACAAGTGGAGACCGCTAGGAAGGGTCAGGAGGTCTGCATCAAGATCGAGCCCATACCCGGGGAGTCGCCCAAGATGTTCGGACGACACTTCGACGAGACCGATATGCTAGTCAGCAAGGTAAGTTCTTTTGTTATTGCTTAGATGGGTGGACGAGCTCACAGCCCATTTGGTGTTAAGTGGTTACTGAAGCCCATAGACATCTACAACGTAAATGCGCCACCCACCCTGAGACATAAGTTCTAAGGTCTCAGTATAGTTACAACGGCTGCCCCACCCTTCAAACCGAAACGCATTACTACTTCACGGCAGAGATTGGCAGGGTGGTGGTACCTACCCTTAACCGTCTCTAAAGATTTGTGATAGACTTCAACTACAAATCGCCATGTTAGCAGCGGGTTACACGTTGCACCTGTGAACTTGAGTTGTTGTTGTAGAATTGTGAACTTGAGTAGCCGATTAAAACTAAATTGGCTTTGAGCTAGTCCAACTATTCAAGTGAGAAAATATTCTTGCCCGACCGTTTTAAATCATCATCTTCTTAGTCATTAACCACGTTCTAGTTGGGTTCTTCAGATATTATAATATATGCTGTAAAGAGGCAATTCCCCGTGCCGAATCAAAAAATAAGCTGCAATCTTCAACAAAGCTGCTTATATAGAAATAAGCATAACTGCACACAGTACTTGTGTACTGGGTAGGTTTAGTAAAATGAAAGAATATTTCGTGAACCTGCAATGTAAATTAAACTGTAGTCCCGTCCTTCGTTTGCCTAAGTTTGCCGCTAGGGGCGCTGTTCCGATTACATACAAATGCGAGTTAACTTTTACGCTATCGAGAGCGTTAAAAAACTCGCACTAAGCAGACTGACACCACAGGTTCTACATGTGCAATATCTCCTATGATTACTTAGTAAATGTTGAGTCTGTTATCATGTTAGGAATACCGCCTTTCTAAGCAACGGGAACTCTCTCCTCATTGTGTCGATAATCCTCAATGCTGAGGGTCGCGACCTAATTGATTCTGATTGTATTATCCTGATTCTCCCTCATACACAAACAAAAAGTAATAAATGAGAATATCTTATTCATTAAATGAATTTAAATCTTGATGCGTCAGTCATTAAGTGCGAAATTCGATCACTACGCGATCGCTGGGATCCAAGATGTTATTAGAGATAAATTTTGCACTTTAACTCAAAATAAACAACAATCTTCCTTCTTTTTTTATTGCCCTTATAGCTAGACGAGCATACGGCTCACTTAATGGTGAGTGGTTACCGTCGCTCATGCACATCAGCAATGCCAGGGACAGAGCCAAGCCGCTGTCAACCGTTCGACGCAATTATAACATAATTTAATTGAAAACCCTACGTCAAAACGGTTATCGTACTGTGTTTCAGAACACGAAACTATGTCATAACAATGAGTGGCGCATTAGTATGTTTAATTAATAAGTTTATCAGTACGAGGCGCACAAAGAACGACACTGTCCATCACGAGAGCCAATTGAAGTCGGCGATTGATTAATCCGTTGGTAGCAGCCCGGGGGCAATGCAGACGGGCAGTTTCGAACGGCTTTAGTGGTGGCGAGTGTTGCATTTATCAATCAGGCTGTTATAATTCTGTACTGTTTTCGGAATGATGTATCGGTGTCTTGCCGGTGGTCATTCCCGATCCTGCAGACAGAATGGAAAGCAGTCAACGTCGCCCCAAACACGTCATTTCGGTTCCTCCCGATCCACTAAAGGTGCTTTTAGGTACCTCAAGCACCGGTCATCGTTCTCGTCGAACCCGTCGCTTGCGACGAAGGGCTCGACGAGTAAATTAACCCTCAGACACAGCCCACTGAGTTTCTCGCCGGATCTTCTCAGTGGGTCGCGTTTCCGATCCGGTGGTAGATTCTGCGAAGCACGGCTCTTGCTAGGGTTCGTGTTAGCAACGTCGTCAGGTTTGAGCCTCGTGAGCTCACCTACTAGTTAAGGTTACGCTGAAATAGCCTCTCAAGGCTCTCAGCTTAGGTAGGAAAAAAAAAGGTGGTCATATTCCGCTAGCAATATTCCTAATTTGTGCCTAACATACGCCAACGAATGACTACCACAAAAAAAAATTTGCTATAAGTTATTATATCAAAATCTCACTTGCATTAGAATAATCCCTATCCTGCTGTATTAAATTACTAAATGCCTTCGTGAAATTTGCTGGATTGTGGTTTACGCGGTTTCATAACACGTCGTTCCACGAATTCACGAAAGACTTCCAATATGAAAGAACATCAGGTAATATAAATTAAACGCGAAAACTTTTCAATTTCCGTAACAATTGGTGATAGAGCGTCTTATAAGCTCGCATGGATTGGTACCATCACCCTGTCTAATTCAGCCACGTTGCATTAGGGCGTTTCAGTTTGAAGGATGAAACAGTCTTTGTACTTTACAATTAAGAATTAGATCCACGGTCTCAAGGTGGATAGCGGAATTCAGGTTGTGATGCGTATAGGCTCCGGTAACCACTTAACACGGGAGAAATGTTATCTTTGTACCCATAACTATTTCATTCCTTTCCAATGTACATAAAAATAAATGCTTAGATGAATGAACGAGCTCACAGCACACCTGGTGTTAAGTGGTTACTGGAGCCCATAGACATCTACAATGTAAATGCCGCCGCCCACCTTATGAGTTCTAAGGTCTCAGTATAGTTACAACGGCTGCCCCACCCTTCAAACTTCAGTTCTGCCGTGAAGCAGTAATGCGTTTCAACGCATTACTGCTTCACTTAAATAGGCAAGGTGGTACCTACCTACCCGTACCTACTCACAAGAGGTCCTACCACCAGTAATGACGCAAATTATAATTTTGTGGGTTTGATTTTTATTACACGATGTTATTCCTTCACCCTGGAAGTCAATCGTGAACATTTGTTAAGTACGTATTTCGTTAGAAAAATTGGTACCCGACTGCGGGATTCGAACACTGGGACAGTCGCATCGCTAGATACGAATGCACCAGACGTCTTATCCTTTAGGTCACGACGAACAACCATATTATTAATATGTTAAAGCAAAATCCTCTTAGAATGCTTGTACGCTTTTGTTCTTAAAGGAAACAGCAAATTTTGTGTTTCATCAAAAATGTTTCTCATTGTTGTTTGCTACTTATTAAAAAAAATACGTATAGTAATCGGCAAACTTCTTGAGCAAATGACCTTGACTGCGCAGAACCGAATTTTAGATCACTGGTGGTGAGGGTGAGGCGCGACGGCAGGGGAAATCGTATCGAGCGCGTTATTGGTAGATCAGTCGAACCTTGCGTCCCGCACCGCGCCCTCATTCCGCTTGCTCCCAAAAGTACGCTTGCGTACAGTGGAAAGTCTATCGTTATTAATCGTTAAGTTATTTGTTATAATTGCTTGTGGACTTTGTTGCCATTGCTATTTGTTGAGTGTTTGTTGATTTTTTATAAAACATACACTATGCCGTGACAAACTGGTGTAGTACTTAAAAGAAAGGGTAGAAAATTTGTGTACGACGTATATTGCTTCATTATAAAACAGGGGAAGAATGATATGGAAAAATTAAAACAGACTTCGGAAGCAACAAAAACATCAGTGAGTACTGTTAGGTGCATTATTAACGAAGCTAAAGGCTCTGGCTTGCTCGCCGTGTTGCGGACTCCGGGTAAGAAAAGATCAGGGAAGAAGAAAGTTACCGGAATGGATAGTTTCGTTCAATCTGTAATAAAAAGATGTAATCATAATAACTACATAACAAGCAGCGAAACTCCGTACCGTAGAAAGGCTTCGA